ACATGCACCATCAAGAAACCGGGATACTCAAAAAACCCGATCATAACCAGGTTATTGATGTGCATGTATACGCACTCAATGATTATGTAACTCTGGTACATGGAATCTGTTACTCCCCAACACTGTTCATCACTTACCACCGTTGTGTATGAGTAAACAGAAGTAGGCGTGTATTTAGGGGGAAATTTTAATTTCCTGAGAAGTGACGTCTTGAATACAGTAAAACAACAAAAGACAAACATTAAAGATTACTCAAACACATATGATTGATAAATCACTCTAAATGTCACTTGGGAGTGGATAACGGGAAACAGTGATATCATGTTTAAAAGTTTGTGACAGTCCCATTTACATTTGCTCTCATTAATTTCAATACTCTTCCAAGCTCACAGGTCGGGAGAACCCTTCACCAAAAAAATTACACAGTGTACCTTTAAATATCTAATATTAACCCATACTGAAACCGGGTCGAAAATATAGGATATATTTCCTTTAAAATGTTCCAATTTTGTACTATAACTGTTATTTATCATTTAAAATACCTACAGAACAGCTTTGAACAAGACCTTGTTACGAGACCTTTAGGGTCAGTAAATAGTATGGATGAAACAATACCTGAAATATCATGATATTGCATTGTTAACCCTCTCAGGCTCAAATACATTTTTAGTATCAGGAAAAATCTGATATTTGGGTAAAATTATAATATGGGGTAGTAATATACAATCCTGACTTTTTTATCCTTTGTAAACAAAAAAAGTATTTTGCACTTCTGACAGGCCGTTTGCATGTAGCCATTCTTGCACAGTCTGCATCGTCCATGTTTATCAGCATGGATGGGAAAAAAGGCTCCTGAGTAAAAAAAGCTAATAAAATATGGATGTGGAGTAAGTAGGTAATTGGAATTTAGCTGTTGCAAATCTGCAACGCCTGCCTGGAGAGGGTTAAACATCTCTCATTAATATTGTGGGCCATCACAATATACTGAATCTCAAGTCTCTTTGCTTAAACTAATATTTATGGTGATTTAATGTCTTTCTTTGCAAATTTTGAGTCTTTCTTATTATGTGAAGCACTTTGAATTATTTTGTGTATGAACTGTGCTATATAAATACATTTCCCTTGCTTTGCCATGGTGCAGCAATAGTTAAAAAAACAGAGGGAACTACCCATATGGAAAAGGTATAGACAAATCATACACCATTTTAACATGTTTTATCTGAATCTTACAAGAATTGTATATGACAGTGAAACAGTTACAAGATCTTTAGTAAATATGTGCAGCATGAAACATATCAAACTTTGTAACCTGCGAGGGCTGAATATGACACGAATCCCACACACAATGTCCTCAAGTGTTGGACAAAGGTCATTTTTACCACAGAATCATAGAAAAACAAGTGAAATGATGATTGTTTCCTTAAACTCGATTGCTGTGTTGTGTGTGTGTGAGAGTGAGAAAGAAAATTATCAGTGTGTGTCTGTGTGCGTGTGTGTGTGTGTGTGTGTGTGTGTGTGTGTGTGTTGGGCAGCATGGGTGTAAACACAGTAATGCAGATATTGAATTACAACCTTAAAAAACATAAGACATACACTCTTCCACTGATATCACAGTGAACATACGTGCTGTATAAAGATGTTTACTCTGCAAAATCCTGTAGCCCCTTTCCTTGTTGCCTCTTTGAAGTTGCCATTTACTTGTGGGATACACTTGTAACTGTCCTCAACGTGTGCAATTGTTCCTTTTATGACTAGTAGCTGGTTAGCTCAACTGCTAAATCACAGGACTTTGACTTGGGTGACCTTGGTTCAAATCCTCCTTCTGACTCAGATTTTTGTTTTTTTTTTAACTGCAACATATAATTAAAGAATACAAACATTACATGGAACATATAAAGAAAAGTAGTTTATCAATGCACATTACCTGTAAATGTCATTCAAAATGATCACTTTATCTTTACTAGTTTTTCATAATATAGTTGAATGAGAAAAATGCAAAAGGGGAAACACTTTCAGGAGTAAACCACACATGACACATATGAACCTTATATAAAGATTTACTACAAAGACAATGGTAAATTCTTATATTTTTTTTTCCTGTTTTTTCCTGTTTTTTTCCATATGGGTACATAGACCATGCATTCTTTGGTGTTGTCATTGCAGACATGAAGAAATAACTGTTATGAAGCACTTTTAAATCTTAATTCTTCATATTATGACAGTACCAAAGGCAAAAGAAAAGCACCATATTCACAATTTTGTAAGCCTCTACAAAATATTTCTATAAATATCGTACCGTGAGATGCATATTGTGAAAATATTGTTACATCACTAGTAAATACTTTTAATACTAAATCATCTTTTTACACCATATAAACCAAAATGAGATTTAACTGAACCAATGTCTTGGAACCGATATCTGATCCATGAAAAATTTGGCATCTAAAAAAATCCCTACTGTAACATCATTTCATCTGCCTTACTTCATATATTTTATACAATCGATATCTTCTGCATGTGTATAAAATGTAGAAAGTAGACACCAAATCGTCGTTTTGCAAGTCTCAAGTAAATCTCAAGTCTTTGACCTCAAGTCCGAGTCAAGTCCCAAGTCAAATACAGGCAAGTCCAAGTCGAGTCTCGAGTCACTGGCTCATAAGTCCAAGTTAAGTCCAGGTCATCATTTGAACTTCAAGCCTTTTCAAGTCCAAAGCTTAGATTTTTGCAATTTATGACTTTTAAACTAAAGTGTACTTATAAAATCATAGTATATTTATATTTGAGTACTTATAGCAGGAGTGTCAAACTCATTTTGATCTGGGGCCGTATCCAACCTACTTTGATCCCAAAGGGGCCGGATCAGAAAACTCATGACATATAAACCCCAAAAATAACAATAAGTTCAAATATTTGTGCAGACAAATGCAAATCTATTACAAAAAACGTTTTTAATTGATGAACTTTTTCTTTTACAAAATATTATAATATTATGAACAACCTGAAACTTCAAGAAAAATGCAATTTCAACTCAATGTTTTAACATGAACTTGTTTAAAATTAACTTGTATAAATAGGAATAAGTACATTTTTCTTGGAAAATCCTGCACTCGGCTCCACTTTTCTCATGTTGGACATTTTTCTGATGAGGGTGTCACGGTCAACAGTCAAAACGATCGTCCTTTAAGAGCGTTTGGAAAGAGACAAGTCTTCATTTGTGCTGCTCTGGTGGGAGGGGCCACGTACAGAGACACTGGAGACGCTGCTGTGATAAACACCGCAGAAAATTAACAATATTTTAATTAAAAAATAGAATCAAAATATTTTTGTAGAATATCAGCCGAGGGCCAGATTAAAGGTCTTGGAGGGCCGGATCTGGCCCCCGGGCCGCATGTTTGACACCTGTGACTTATAGAGTATATAAGAGTTGTAAAAATGCATTTTATTTTCCTTTTTAAATGTATTGATAAAATCTTAGAGTGAATCATTAAAAGTCAGAATAAAACAATTTCAGATTTAAAGGTGCTTCTCAGGTCTTCTCAAGTAACACGCCTTCGAGTTCGAGTCAAGTCCCAAGTCACTGACCTTCAAGTCCAAGTCAAGTCCCAAGTCTTAGTCCATTTTATCAAGTCAAGTCTCAGACCTAAAGACCAAAGATCAAAATAGTGACTCAAGTCTGGTTAGAGTCCAAGTCACGACTTGCAAGTCCCCGCCTCTGTTAGTAAGTAGTAGAACAGGGATGTCAAACTCAAATTCACAGACGGTCAAAATTAAAAACTGGGACCAAATTAAATATTTATTGAAAAATGTCATAAATGTCAAAAATATAAAGGCACTCTAGTACATTTATTCTGGGAATGTGAATATATTCAACAATTTTGGAGAGATGTACATGCTGTTACCCAACAGATTACGGGAAAAACTTTTGTTATGTCACCATCATTGTATTTGTTAAATCTTTGTCCTGACAAACTTTTTGATAATGTTACCCAGTCTATGTTAATGATTATGATGTCTTTGGCAAGAAAATGTGTTCTTTTGAAGTGGGCAACCCCGCACTTACCTACACTGGACTTATGGTTAACTCAGTTATCATCAACCATTCCCCTGGAAAAATTGACTTATGAACGAAATGGCAAACAAGATATGTTCTGGAAAATATGGACACCTGTACACATATATTTAAATATGTCATTTATAATTTTTTTTTTTTTTTCTTAATTTATTTATATATTTTTTTGAATGTATTTGTTATTTGTGAGTGTTTGAGTGTGTGCGTTTATGTGTATGTATGTAAATGTATGTCATTTGTATATATTAATGTAATTATGTTATTTTATTTTTATTATTATTTTCTGGTCAATATTATTATCATTGTTATTATTATTATTATTATTATATTATTATTATTATTATTATTATTATTATTATTATTATTATTTATTTATTTTTATTTATTTATTTTCCTTTTTCTTTTCAGCGTCTGTTAAGGGTGGGTGTGGGTGTGGGGAGGTTGAATTGAGGTTTGGGAATGGGAAGGAGGGGGTTTAAATGTGGCATTTGTACACTTGTATATTTTTGTGGCATTTTTGTGTGGCCGTAAGACCACAATATAAAAAAAAAAAAAAATTAAATAAAATATATATGAAAAAAAAGAAAAATGTCAACAACACCTGCATGTCTTCTCTTCTTTTTTCTTATTATAATACATGTTCAATAATAGTTTTGCTTAAACATTGAATCCAGAACAAGCAGAATATAAAATAATAACAAAATTTTAATTAAATGAATAATGTCTCTATAGTCTATCTGTAGCCGGTGGGCAGCTCTAATACATATATTATGACTGGTAATAGTGTATATCGTGTGCAGATATGGAGTTAAACTGGGTTAAAAGTAGTGACCATGGACAAAACTACCAAACATTCACTCTTCCTCTTTTTTTTTTTTTTTTTTTTTTTTTACAGGAATTGTCACCGATGCATCTTAGAATTCTTTCCTTGACATGTGACAGGCAAAAAGGAAGTAACCCTCATCTACAACTCCAAACAACAACTAAACTTTGACACGCATGAATGAGCAAAGACGGTGAGCTGTAAGTATCGTGTCTCTGTCAAGTTTCAATGCAAATTATAATAAGATGCATCTATCTGAGTGTATATTTCTGAACAGGCTCATATGGCCAAAACAATGCATTTATTGGGAAATGGGAAACGACTATTTATCTGGTTCTTAAGTAAGTTTTTGAATCATTTAAGCACAGAAGATGATGGAGATTGGAAATGCCGTTTTTTAGACTTAAACTTCTTTTTTTCTTCTTTCCTTTTTTTGTTTTTGTTTGTAGGTTTCCTGAGTTTGCCGCTGTGTGCAGGTAAATGTGCATTTTGATTTTCAGTTACACAATAAGTTTTAGTGAGACAGAACTTAAAGGTGCATTGTGTAACTTTTTCTGGTGCAGCGTCCATCAAATACTTTTCTCCGTGAAGATATTATCGTTTTTTCTGGAATGTTTCACAGTTTGGTATTAAACCTTTCTATTTTCATGGAGACCAAACCAGAACAAATTACAGGTCAGATCTGTGGAGAGGCGACCCCACTCACAGTCAGAATAAATGTTTTTTGAGGTATTTTTGAGATCAAAAATCGCCTGTAATTGAATAAATATAAGGTAGAGACGAGCAATGACATCCATAGAAACAAGAAGGTGACGGACCCTCCACCAGAAAAGTTATACCTAATGCACCTTTAACAGTGATTATTTTTTAAAAGGTTCTTATATTGTGTATTATATTATATTATATTGTATTTTTAATCTAAGTTGTACTGCTGTTACCTCCTCAAAAACATATCCTCACATGTTTAACACACAAATGCTGCAGATTTAGTTCTATTCTCAAATTGAAAAGTGAGATGTCATTAAGTGGTAATGCAGGAAATGCTCCACTGTGTTTTTAAACTCCGTACACTTTCACAAGAATCATTTCGAAGATTTCAGATCTGCATTTGCCAAACTGCTAAGGCTACGTTTATATGATGACGGTCTGAAAAGAAGACGCAAAAAGTGGCATCGCGTCTTCACTTTTTATTCCGTGTTTAGACGAGTGTTTTCAAGAGGAAATATGTGTGCATACGGTGACGCAAAAGTGTGTGGAATTCGATTGTGTATGCATGCCAGGTTTCTGTGTACTGTATGTATGTGACGTAAACGTGTACGTGACGTGAGCACATCTGACCAGAGTTTTGCGTCTTGGGCAGCGTAGGCGGAAACGCTACGGTGGAGCGTATTCAACTTTTCCACTCTGGAGGGTTCTCATGTAAACAGGCCCTAATAATCCTTGGTGCACCAGCTAATATTAAAGTGAAAATATATTTTAAAAATACTTTTCTAGACTATTTAAGAGTAAAGCTCAATTTTGAGGCTGATAACCTTAAAATTTCCACTAAAAGACATCACAAGGTGCAACGAAGCATTTTGAGCTTTGGCGATGCAGACACCCTAATAATCCAGGATTACTCAAACATGTGGGAATGAAACAAAACACAACTCCAGATCTGTTTTTGATGAGGTAACAGCATTATAACATGTCTAAAAGCTCACGAGTAACATGGAACCTTTAAAAAAGAATTCAAAATTCATCAGACTTTTGTATTTCCTCTGCCCTCTTGTGTCTGCGCAGTTAAAGATTGACAAAAATACTAGCACATATGGCATTTTTGATTGGATTTTAAAAGTTTTGAAGATTTTGATTGCACAAAAAGTGAAAGGTGCTCACAACCTGCTTGTCTCAACTGTTTTTCCTGGAATGTCCCAAAGTACGGCATTAAAATTCTGTCTTAGATTTATTATTACATGTGTTATTATCGTGGAGATCGATATGTTTAATGCCATACTGTGGAAAATTCCTGGCAAAGCAGTAACACCTCCATGGAGACAAGAGGTGGGCACCAGAAAAGTTACACAGTGCACCTTTAATGTCAAAAGAATCCCTAAACAATCGTCAATCGACTTCCCCTCAACTGAACAAAAGGAGTCAGATTTCACAAAAATACTACAACTAGCATGCTAACTGCACACTTCCTATTATCGGACAATTAACTGCTTTATAATTCGATGCAGACACAGAATGACTTGTTTTGCCCCTGAGAGCCCTCTGTCCTGGAGGAAAATTTGCTTAAAGGGCTCATATTAGACTATTTTCTGATCTGTGTTATAATGGTGTTTCCTCATCACAAACATGTGCAGAGTTGTGTTTTGTTTCATTCACACACTTTAACGCACAAACCCTGCAGATTTAGTGAGTTCTTCTCTCAAATGAAAACAAAAAAATGCACACTAAAGTTCTTAAAATACAGTAAAATAAAAGTGAAAAATGCATAGCACACTCATGGCTGATGTACAAAAGCTTTTTTTTTTTTTTTTTTTAAATAACATTTTTCATTTTTCTTGCTTCAGTTTTCCTTCTTTGGAAGACGTTTTTCATTTTTCTTACTTTTGGACCATGGGACACCCAGTATTGTGCTCCAAAGCAAGAAAAATGATCTGCTGAAGGCTTTTTTGCCAAAACCCATGCATCCATCTATCCATCCATTTTTTCCCGCTAAATCTGGGGCCGGCTCACATGGGCAACAGTCTAAGCAGGGACTCCCACACTTCCCAGACACTTCCTTCAGCTCCTCTGGGAGGACCCCAAGGCGTTCCCAGGCCAGCCCAGAGACATAGTCCCTCCAACAGATGCCCGAGCCACCTCAACTGCTCCTCTCGACATGGAGGAGCAGCGGCTCTACTCCAAGCTCCTCCCGCGTGACTGACCTCCTCACCCTATCTCTAAGGGAGCGTCCAGACACCCTGCAGAGGAAACTCATTTCGACCACTTGTATCCGTGATCTTGTCCTTTTGGTCATTACCCAGAGCTCATGACCATAGGTGAGGGGAGGAACGTTCGACTGAGCAGTAAATTGACAGCTTCGCCTTTCGGCTCAGCTCCCTCTTCACCACAATACAGTGACCACATCACTGCCAATGCTTTTTGCCGAAACGTTATTTAAAAATAAAATAAAAAAGCTTTTGGACAAAGGCCATCTGAGTGTGCTTTTTTGAGAGTTCTTCTCTCAAACAGAAAACACTCTGTTCCACCTTGTGATGTCATCTGGTAATACAGGAAGTGCTCCACTGTGTTATTAAACTCCATACACTTTCACTAAAATCATTTGGATGATTTCACACCTGGAAAAGTCAATCTCGGCTAAACAAAAAGCAAAAGGAAGCTCTTAACATGAAAATTACCACTTCATGACATCACAAAGTGGAACAGGGCATTTTGAGCTTAGGAGATGTAGACAGACTAATAATAAAGGGTTACTCAAACATGTGTGAATGAAACAAAACACAACTCCAGATCTGTTTTAGATGAGGTAACAACATTCTAACATGACTTAATCCTCACAAGTGTCAGTTTTGAGTAATATAAGACCTTTAAATACATAGTAGGAAAACTTTGACACAGGCCTTTGATCAAACCAGAATCATCAAGAATAAATCAATTGTACACTCATTTAATCATTTATTCTTCTGTTGTAGATGGTCAGAGAGTACGCCTTTTCCCCGGTAAGTGCTCTGGCAGAGTAGAGGTGCTCTATGACAACCGCTGGGGCACAGTTTGTGACGATCACTGGAACGCGGCTACTTCCAACGTGCTGTGTCGCGAGGTGGGCTGTGGGCCGATGGTCAGCAACAGAAAACCCACAGAGCATGCGACCGGAGACATCTGGCTGGACGATGTCAGGTGCAAAGGGAACGAATCTTCTATTCTCTCATGTCAACACAGCGACTTCGGGGACCACAACTGTGACCACTCAGAGGATGCCGGCGTGGTTTGTTCAGGTAAAATTTATCTGCTCAACAGCTCAAGTTAAAGACGCATTGTGTAACTTTTTGGTGGAAGGTCCATCACCTGCTTGTTTCTATGGAGATGCCATTGGTCTGCTTGGAATGTTCCACAGTATGACATTAAACAGCTCTATGTTACATTTATTCTATTATAGGTTGTTTTATTGCTCAGAAATACCTAAAAAAAACAACAACTCCATAATGATAGAAAGGTTTAATGCCATACTATGAAATTTTCCAGACAAAGTAAGAGCATTCCCATGGAGAAAAGCATTAGACCAGGGGTGCTCAATACGTCGATCGCGATCTACCAGTCGATCGCCAAGGTCGTGTGGGTAGATCACCGTGTCTCGTCTCGGACTCTATCACGTTTGGACTCGGTCTTGTCTCTCACTCGAGGTCTAACACTGGACAAGTGCGATCATATTACGGCCGCTGCTGTTGGCAATAAACTTGTACCGGGGTGCGGGAGCGTGCGGAGCGTCTCACTATAGCCTGTGCGCCATTTGGAACATGCGGATACTGTGCGGCACATCACAATCACACACGCTCCCTGCACGCGGCTTGTCCGCAACAGCGTTAGTCCTTGTGCACCAGCGTGTATCACAGGGCAAGTTAAACTTTTTTAAAACATCCTACCTGTCCATCTGCTCACGTCAGCGCACCGCTCTTCGCCTTTTCACGCTTTCACTCTTTCCAGGGTAAAGCGCACAGGCTCCTGCCACAATGCGCGCAGATTAGAAGGACAAGACAAAACGCGAAGTAAAAACTAATCTAAATTTATGTTATAGTGTTGGCACAGAGGAGCCAACAGCACAGAGCAGACCTACTGCGACATGTGGCTAAAGTTTGGCTAATAAACGTGCACAAATACATCTGGGTTTGGTTTGGTAAATGTGCAGAGGCTAAATCCCACTGTAAAACTCGTACTAACCATGTAACTCCAGTTAGGAACTTGAAAAAACAGGTTTAAAAATCCTAAATCACTGTCTTCACTTTTTTCAGTTTTCTGTAAAGTGCTATTGAAAGTTCTCTTAAGTCCAGTACAGTTTACTTGACTTTGTAGTCGGTTGATCATTTTTGACTTGGACATTTTATAAGTTAGCTCGCATGCTGAAAAAGTGTGGGCACCCCTGATTCAAGTAATTACGAACATGTAAAAAGTTTAATTGTGTTGTGCAGTATTATCTCATGACGTTATGCAAGATACCTCAAAATGTGTTGTACATGTAAGAATTCATAATACATTTACAAATAAATATATGTTTAACATTTTTATATTAGGTGGTAGATCTTTCATGATCATTTTAAAAGTAGCTCACATACCGGAAAAGTCTAAGCACCCCTGCTTTAGACGAACCCTCCACCAGAAAAGTTGTGCAATGCATCTTGAATATAGCTTTGTATTTCAGTTTTGTCAGAGACTGAAGAAAAAGAATGAATGATTGGAAAATAGGCACAAATCATCACAAATTCTGACCTTTGTGAAAGCTGTAGGTCCCTGTCATCCAAACAGGAGCAGTTAGTCTTTAAAGTGCGCTCTGCTGGAAAAATGCTTTCTGGGCTGCCAAGGATTTTTAAATTTTTTTGCTGTAATACCTATGAACTAGCCTGATTCATCAGCTGGTTTCACTTCGTGGAAACCATCTGACTTCGCAGCATTAGGCTTCGTTCGCTCGACAGTAGGTGTACTTTTTAATTTAATCAATCGCTGCTATTTGATCGTGACTTATGTAATGCACCAAATCCTGTAGGAAGAAGGGCAGTAACGTCTTTCCCCTTGATAAAAGTCACCAAACATTCTCTTTGTTCTGGCTTTAAATCCTCAATCTTTGGAATCGTTGCCAACACAGAATGTCTGTCTTCGTCTACATCCATCTCGATGCTTTGTTTACTGTTGTGTTGTACCACAAAAGGGACACAGACAGACGCGAGTTTGACGTCATGGCTTCTCAGCTTGTTGCTGATTGGCTGGTGCATGATCTACAACTTACGGGGTTCTTGCAAACCGTCTAGTGCATTCTGATTCCTGATTTAGTCGCTGGAAGAGAAATGAAACTGAGCAGAGGCACTAGGTGGCGCCAGCCTGGCTACCAATGGACTGTCCTCTAGTCCAAACTTGTGACAGGTTTAAGCTAGAAATCCCCTATCCAGATACTTTAATAGATCCTTCCAAAAAGTAGACAACTTACTGGACTGAAAAGAGTTGCATAATAATCATATAGTTACCACATCGCTGAGGAGGAACTGTTGGGACTGTTTTCTTCCTCTATCTACATAAGGACAAATCTTTTTCATTTTGTACTTCTGTTATTTACTTAAAAATGGAGTGGCAGCCATATGAACTGTAGAGATACTTACCATAATTGCAGCAGTCCTTGCGTGATTTCAGTCACCACAGTGGTAATCTAGCATAGCTGTCTTGTATTTGGCAAGAAAGAGTCAGAAGGCCATCCTCTTTGGCTTGGGAAAAACATAAATGTGAAGCCGTTTATTCTGCGCATGTCAATAGCAAATTTAGCGCACTCACGTTTTATCATGACGTCACTACGTAGGCTATTTAACATGGCTTTGCCCATATTGTTAAATATGCTTAACATGAACAGTTCAACATAGTTTTATTGCGTCACTATGACTATATTATTAGTAATGACTTCATGCAGAAAGGCCGGTGTGCAGGCTGTTAGAGTGATGGACATACAGAGACATGAGGCTGAGTCATGTCATTGGCTCTGTGCAGAAAGGTGCCCGGCTAGTTCTGGGTTACCCTAGCCTACCTAGATATGTCACAACTTTCAAATATTTCAGTGGAGTGAGTTTTAGGTGTTTTAACTGACAACATCTTAAAGCACACATCCACACGCAAACATTATGTAATCATGATTAATCTGAACACAGGGGCCCCAACATGGATCTGTTGAACCCACAGGTCAAAATTCTTTTTAAGCATGGCACTAGCCTTCTTCACACAGTTACTACATTTACATGGCCTAGTCTATTTAAACAAATATATTTTAAACAAATAATATAAAAATACACATAAACACAAGAACAACATCTGAGGTGTTGTGAATTGAATCTCAAAGATCCTAACTCCCAGCATAAAAGCGTGCAATTTAATTTATATGATTACACCAGGTAAAAAACAGCCAGGAAAATAATAGACATGTACTCACTCATTTCAGATCAGCAGTGATGGCAAATTACGGCCTTTCCACCGAGCACCCACTGAGCACATGTTGCTTTGTTTTGGTCTGTTACTTTAAAGTGAAAATGAAACTTATCAGAGCTTCAGTGTATGGGCTTATTTGAATTGCAGATTTGGAGAGACAGTTCGTAGCGTGTCTAAAAATCTAATGCTGAGTGTTAATCAGACATCACTCATCTCTTTCTGCCAAAAGTGTGGTTGTATGATGTTGTTTTGATTAGTAAGTACAGCTCTGAAGTTTTAGTGCTTATGCTAACTTACTAAATGCTCCTGAATGTCTCGTCGACTGGCCTATTCACTCCACCACCACCAGACCATACATACACTGTTCCTGTTTAGCTGTAAACTTTTATCTCTATGTCTGTACTGTATATTTAACTTTGTTCTTGTCACAGTTCTGCCTTTTACTTGTTTTCCCCAGTCCAGTTCCCTTTCTCAGTCTGTTCCGGTCCTCCTTTTGCCACCTCCCTCCTTTCCCTACAGCTGCCCCTCATTCTGTAATCAGCACAGGCCCAGTCTTTATATACTTCCTCTGCTCCCTCAGTCTTTGCCAAATTGTTGACCTGTTAAGACAAACACTCAAGCTCCTAAAAACCTGAAATCTGAAACCCCTGTATTCCCTGAATCTGATCTGTTTATGACATCTGCAATTCTGTGGTTCCCTGTTTGCTGTCCCTGTTCTTGAGTTTACTCCCAGTCTGTTTTTTACTAGTGTATTCCCAGTCTTGGAAGATATTTTTGTTCACATTTAATATCATATATTCCTCTGTTATATTTTCAGTCTGAGTTGCCATTATTAACATTTCCTGTTATAGGACACTTTCAGTTATTTCAATAAGACTTTGTTTGCCTGTGTAGTTGTGTTGCATGTGAGTCCAGTTTACCTGCGTGTTAGTTCTGTATTAAATAACACACATTGTGCTTGAGCCTGTTACATGGACCTAATCTATGACACCTGTCAATCACTGTTATAATTCATCATATTCATTTAAGATGACTAATGATGGCTGAATAAAAGAAACAATCTGCTGATTTTTGCGTTAGAGAATTGCAGTGCCCAGTGGGAGCAGATGCTGCGGTAAACGTCATCGCAACAAAGAGTCGGTAACTGTGACAGACAGCTGCGCATTAAGGATGCAATGATGTACAATATTACCACGATATGCATCTCGCAGTACAATATTTATCGTGATATTTTGGGGTGACTGATATAACTGTGGAAAGGATGATTTTTTTGCTTTTAAAATACCTTGACAAGATTTTGGTGTGAATTATTACCGTCATAATCCCAAGAATTCAAGTAAAAAACTGATAATTTCATGTTGTCTGCACTGAAATGAATCATGGGATATGTAGTTCCGAATGTTTATTAGCTATTTCTACTATAAAAATGCATTTGAGCAAAGGAACTTTGCAGTACCCACGGTATTATTGTGAGACTTTTGACAATACGATATCATGATATTTCGGTTATTGTTACTAGAATGATGTGCAGTAGGGATGTAAGTTGCAGATTCACAGATTAAGAAAATAAAATTGGAACTAAGCAAATTACTAATAGGGCTGCTTTAATGTTTTTGGGAAATAGTAAATCGTTAACTTTTTCTAGAGCGCTTTTCCGCCTTTAAGTACGGAAGCCGAGAGGGGTCACAACAAACGCAAACACCGCAACAAATACAAACGCCACAACACAAACGCAAACGCCGCAACACATTAAAAAGCCACAACACATCAAAAAGCCACAACGGAAGTGACCGCAGGACTCTATTTTCAGATGGACCGATCAAACGTCAAGTGAAGAAGAACTACAACGTGAAACGAATAATGATAAAACAATAAATTACTTTTACTTACGTTTCCAACTTCTCCGTTACTTTACTTTTCAAGTTGTAGTTCTTCTTCTTCACTTGCCGATTGATCGGTCCGTCGGAAAATAGAGTCCCGCGGTCACTTCCGTTGTGTCTTTTTAATGTGTTGTGGCGTTTGCGTTTGTTGTGACCCCTGTCAGCTTCCGTATTTAAGCCACTCAAAGCCTTTACATCAAGGATCTACCCTCCCATTCACACACCAATGTACATTAGGGGCGAGGTGGGTTAGCATTCTTCTGTGGGAGCTGGGATCACACCACCAACCTTCAGATCAGTGGACAAGCGCTCTACCATCTGAGCTACAGGACCATGGACCTTGAGTGTCTAGACTTGCACCTAATAAATAAAATGTATTCTTATATGTATGTGTTCTTCCATAGAGCCAATGAGACTGTCTAATGGCACAGACCGCTGCTCTGGGACTCTGGAGGTCTTCCACGGCGGCCAGTGGGGTGTGATCTGTAGCAACAACTTGCCTACAAATATAACCAAATTGATATGTGAACAACTTGACTGTGGACCTCCTAAAAAAACAGCTGCTACGGTTCAGAACCACATGGGATTCATGAGCAGTTGTCCTGGAAATGCAGCTTCACTTTCACAGTGCACTCTAACAAAAAGCAGTGAAGTTTGCCACGGAGTAACTTTTTCCTGTGAAGGTAAGAACACAAACAAAAATGGAAGACTTAGTATTTAGTTACAGTTTTCTTATTACTGAATACCTAAATTTAAATTGCTTTTGTAGCATATTGTTACAGGGCTCACTTAGACTGTATTATTCGGAATACTTAGTATACATTCACACTGTGATGTATTCATAGTGTAAAAACAGACATGTTTCTTATTTTTCCCACTAATATCACGTAGTTTGAAGGCTAACTTGCATGATCAAGTACTGCAATGTATGAATAACATTAGTACTTCTTAATATTGTTAACCTAAGGGCATAACTACGGAAGCCGAGAGGGGTCACAACAAACGCTAACGCCGCAACAAATACAACAACACAACAAAAAGCCACAACACACCAAAAAAAAGCCGCAACGGAAATGACCGCGGGACTCTATTTCAATGCAAACGCCGCAACAAATACAAACGCCACAACACAAACGCAAATGCCGCAATACATTAAAAAGCCACAACAGAAGTGACCGCGGGACTCTTTTCCGTCATAATTTTCCAACGGACCGATCAAGCGGCAAGTGAAGAAGAAATACAACGTGAAACGAATAATAACAATAAATTACTTTTACTTATGTTTCCAACTTCTCCGTTCCTTTACTTTTCACGTTGTAGTTCTACTTCTTCACTTGCCGCTTGATCGGTCCGTTAGAAAATAGAGTCCCGCTGTCATTTCTGTTGTGGCTTTTTTTGGATTAGTTGTGGCTTTTGTTGTGTTGTCGCATTTGTATTTGTTGTGACCCTCTCGGCTTCCATACATAACTGCCTAAATAATTTTTCTGAGTTTTTGAGAAAATTCTAAAATAAATGCCAATAAGATGACTTGGTGGTTGTGTTTGTTTGGCTTTAAAAATCTTTCTGATAGGCCGAGGAGGGAGCGCATGACACTTACAGAATGAGACAGGAAAGCCCAATTTTCTAGACTTTTCCAGCCAATTATGCTATGAGGCTGGTGAATATATTTAGCCAAATTAATACATGTAGAACTGAATTAAGTTCCCCTCATTTATAAATCTGGAATGGCTCCTGCTGAAAGCGATTGCAAAAAGGTTCAAGAGAATGACAAATATTTAAGTTGGATTGGTCAAAGCGTCACAACAAGCCAAAAAGTCTAACTTTTGCTACATCCAGTTGAGAGAAAAGCACAAACGCTAAAATATGCTGAGATGTCAGTGGGCATCACCATCTTTGTTTTTGTTTGTCTGGGCACTTCATAGAAATAATGATTTTCTGTGTGAGCGTTTTGGCCTGGGCTTCTGCTCAAATTACAATGTTGCTTTGTGATTGGTACTTGTGAGTCTGTGAACTGACAAGTATCACAAGAATCCATCCGAGGTGCAAGGTTATCCCTGCACTAGCAATAGAAACATCCATGTTCACCAGCAGAGTCCAGATGCTCATGGAAGAAAACTGCTTCACACTTCTCAATCTCTTTGATCATAAATTCATTCCAACTCACTCATTTTCATTTTCTTTGCAGGTTTGAGAGAGATCAGACTGGTGAACGGCACTGACCGCTGCTCTGGCAGAGTAGAGGTGTATTACAACAAACAGTGGGGGACAGTTTGTGATGACAACTGGGACATACTGGACGCACGTGTGGTCTGCAGGGCCATGGACTGCGGCGCCGCTCAGGAGGCCGTGTTGTATTCACAGTTTGGAGAAGGCACTGGGGACATCTGGCTGGACAGTGTGGAATGTCTTGGGAACGAAACCTCCCTGGACCATTGTCAGCATAAACCTGTAGGTGATCACAACTGTGGTCACTCTGAAGATGCTGGTGTGATCTGCTCATGTAAGTACGGCCGTTTGTAGGGCGAGATGATTTGGTTAATCAATGATCTACATCAGGGGTGTCAAACTCATTTTGGTCCGGGGGCTGTATCCAACCTACTTTGATCCCAAAGGGGCCGGATCAGAAAACTCATGACATATAAACCCCAAAAATAACAATAAGTTCAAATATTTGTGCAGAGAAACACAAATCTATTACAGAAATCATTTTTTATTGATGAACTCTTTCTTATTATAATATTATAATATTATGAACAACCTGAAACTTTAAGAAAAATTCAATTTCAACACAATGTTTTAACATGAACTTGTATGCAAACAGGAATAAATTAATTTTTCTTGGAAAATCCTGCACTCAGCGTTCACTTTTCTCATTTTTGACATTTTGTTGATGGGGGGGTGTCACAATCAACAGTCAAAACGATCGTCCTTTAAGAGCGTTTGGAAAGAGACAAGTCTTCATTTGTGCTGCTCTGGTGGGAGGGGCCACGCACAGAGGCGCTGGAGACGCTGCTATGCTCAGCAATGCAGAAAATTACCAATATTTTAATAGAAAATATAATTAAAATATTTTTGTAGAAAATCACCCAAGGGCCACATTAAAGGTCTTGGAGGGCCGGATCGGGCCTTATGTTTGACACCTGTGATCTACATGGTACAGGTCAAAATCTCTGATTACATTGTACTTTCTGCTGAAATATCCAAAAAGTAAATCATCTCATGTTGAATTGGATCATTTCTTTAACTGACTATACATTACAGCCCAAAAATCTGCATTTTAACAATATAATATACTACGGATATAATGATATCCAAATCTCTCAGTACGATATTATCACGATATGCATCTCAAGGTTTTGGAGAGGCTGATATAATTGTAGATAGGACCCTTTTTTTGCTTTTAAAATTGACAAGATTTTGGTGTGAATTATTTCCATCATATTCCCAAGAATTCAAGTAATAAAACATATTTCTTCATGTTTTCTGCACTGAAATTAATCATGGGATATGTAGTTCCCTATATAAGCTGTTGCTACTATAAAACCATGCATTTAAGCAAAGGAACTTGTGATTCGATATATTGTGACAGCCCACGATATCATTGTGAGACTTTTGATGATACGATATCTCGATATTTTGGTTATTGTTACATCCCTATAATATTACCTAATCCCATCTGTATTTTAATTACTATGGGCCTATGGAATGTTGTGATGTCATCTGAAACCAGTAATCATGACAAAATTAGAAGCAAGAATAAGTACTTCTAAATGTAACGTGCTTTTTATCCAGTTGTTTACGTCATATTCATTTTATTTTTGTCATTCAGGAAGTTGGTTTTAGTGGCTAGTACTCAGATTGTGCCAAGAGTCGAACCCGCAACCTTGCTGAGTCTTTCCGTGCATCTTTCAGCATGTTCATTTTTCAGTAAAACAAAGACTAGCATGAAAAAGAGTAGTAAGGCAGTTCTTTTTATCAGACCCATCAGGGCAGATTCAAACCCTCTGTCCTTGAGTAGAAAAGGGTTCAAAGGTTCAAAGGTAGTTGTACCAATCATGAACTGGACTTTCCTTAACTCATTTTACAATTGTGTTGAAGAAGTGAAAATTAGGAGTTTAACAATACCCAAGTCTCACGATAAGATATCGTCACGGTATGAACCTCATGGTTCGATATTTACTGCGATATCGTGGGGAGGCTCACGATTAGGGATGTAACAATATCCACATCTCTTATGATATTTATGCAGTATTTTTACAATATGCATCTCATGGTACGATATTTATTGACATATTTTGTAGAGATTAACAAAATAACAAAGACTTATAAGTGCTTAGAACTGTTATTTCTTCATGTAGTCTACACTGAAATGGAGCAAAGCATCATGGTCTATGTAGTTCCCTCTGTTTTTTTTGTTTGTTTTTGTTTTGGTTTGTTTTTTTAGCTATTCCTGCACCATAACTCTTAATTTAAGCAAAGAAACTTGTGATTCGATATTTGTGATGGCCCACAATATTATTGTGAGGACTTTGAGGATATCATGATATTTTGGTTATTATTACTAGTGCTGTCATGCGATTAAAAAAATTTGAGAGATTAATTAATTATGATCTGTAATTAATTAATCTAATTAATCTCATTTTAATCTCACCTAAAAATTGCTGAGAAAAGCCTTCAATTTGAGGTATTTTCATTTAAATTCATTATTACATTATTGTGGCAGATCAAAAGACTAATATAGATTTAAAAAAGTGACTTTATAAAGTCATTTATTGTTTAACAAATCTCTCCAAATTGGCTGTTGAGCCCAAGTCTCCATGAATAAGAAACTGTTTGCTGTAAAGTAGCAAAGACGAGGAAATCTGAACATAATAACTTTTGTCTACTTAAAGACAATAAAAAGTCCAGTCTTTCCTTAACCATATTAAAAATATTATTGATAGAGAAATGCTTTATATATGAGATCACTGGTTTTAGTCCTGGTTTAGACCTACTTTAGTCCTAGTTTAGTCCTGGAATGGATTAATCCTGGTTTTAGTCCTGGTTTTAGTCCTGGTGTTAGTCCTGGTTTAGTCCTGGTTTTAGTCTTGGTGTTAGTTTTGGTTTAGAGACGCACAGGAGGAAGCGCGGTTTACGCCGCGTACGCGAGAAAACACGATCCACACGCGGCTCACGGGAGCACGTCGGTGTCCGCGCAGTGTCTACGGAAGGAAACGTGGTCCGCGCGTTCTCAGGTTGATGACGATGATGAAGGTGTTTGTTTGTGTTTGTGTGTGTTTGTTTGTGTTTGTTTGTGTTTGTTTGTGTTTGTGTGTGTTTGTGTTTGTGTGTGTGTGTTTGTGTGCGTGTCCCCTCATGTGGCAGGTCACTATAGGACAGTAGTGCAGACATCCATGAGCCTATGCAGGTTGTTTTCAGGCGATATTATATTTGTTATTTTCTTTTATATTTCACGTCGGGAGAATAATTTCCAAGACACGAATGTGTTTTTACCTGTGCACTGCTGCCTCTGTTCTACTGGCTCTTCGACCTCGTCCATTGTGCGACTGACGCCGTAAACGTTAACATGACGTTTACATCGCTCTTACTGCGCGCGTTTTGTGTGGGTTTCCGACAATGAGTGGAATTACCGAAATAAAAAAATGTATAAATGTGTTTTGTGTGTGTGTGTGTGTGTGTGTGTGTGTGTGTGTGTGTGTTGTTGTCCCAACAACACATAAAAACAGGTTTTATAATAAAGAAATTCGCATACAGAAACACTAAAGTTAGAGATTAAAAATGAGATTAACGCGATTAAAAAACATAACGCGCTAAATATGACTGTAATTAATTAATCTCAATTAATGCGATAATTTGACACCCCTAATTATTACATCCCTAGTGACACCAAAACAACACTGACACTGAGGGATGTAACAATATCCAAATCTTTTGATACAATATTTACACGATATGCAATAGTTTTGTGAAATTTTGTGGAGGTTAACAAAATTATGAATATGCTACTTTTCTCTTATCATAATCCAAATAATTAAGATTTAAAAGGGCTTAATAAGTTATTTCATCATGTAGATTGGACTGAAACAGAGCAAAAGATCACGGTCTATGTAGTTCTCTGTTTTTAGATATATTTTTTAACAACAATGACTTAAAGCAAACAAACATGTGATATATATTGACAGCCCATGATATTATTGTGAGACTTTTGATGATATGATATCACGATATTTCAGTTACTATAGATGTAATAATATCCAAATCTCTCAGTTCGATATTTTCACGATATGCTCTGTATATCATGGTACAATATAGTTTGTGGAATCAAACAAAACTGTGAAAATACGCAACTTTTTCCCTTTTAAATGCCTTGACAATACTTAACCCAAAAAATTACGATTTCAAAGTGCTTAGAACAGTTATTTCTTCACATACTCTGCACTTTTATCTCGAGATGACACGAGATCTTGTACCATCCCTAACTTTGGCAATGCGATACACAGTACTTTGGTTATTGTTACATACCTGCTGAAATCTGTTATTTCTCTTATAGCTCACGTCAGACTGATCAATGGTACAACAAGCTGCTCGGGCAGAGTGGAGTTAGGAGTTGGCGGTCAGTGGGTCTCTGCCCGTAGAGCCACCTGGGGTAAGAATGAAGCTATCGTGATATGCCGAGAACTGGACTGCGGGGAGGATTCGTCAGTTTCAGGATCCAATTCTGCAAATGAACCTTCGAGAATGTTTGATGTTACCTGCACGGGCTCAGAAGCCGCCCTCGGAGAATGCACAATAAAAGAATACAACAGGACAAGTGGTGATAGAGCGGAAGATGCAACTGTGGTTTGTACAGGTGAGGCCTATAAGAAAAGTGGTTTCCTTATGTGGTAGTGCTAGAGTGGGTTGTCTTATGAAATGTAGAATTGTAAGGTTTGGAAGGACACATATTATGCAAAATTAACTTTTTGAGCTTTTAAAAGTGTAATAACTCCATCAAAAACATACCTTGAACAAGAAAAAAACAAGTCACATCGGACTATAAGTCGCACTTTTTGAGGGAAATTTATTTTATAAAATCAGAGACCAAGGACCGACATTTCATCTTGAAAGTCAAGTTCTAGTAATAACAATAGAATAGAGAACAACAGACTGTTAATGTCACATATGAACAGTTCTCCAGATAACTATAGCATAAACATCAGAACAGAACAAGTTTACCAAACTCTCCATCTCCAAATCACTAAATCCATTCAATTCTTCATCCTTGTTGTCACTTCTGAGCAACTCCGCTTCCTCTAGAGGTAAACTGAGCGCTGCTTCCTCTTCTGTGTAGCTGTCGTCAGACTCGGCATCATCAGTCAATTATTCTGGCCTTTCTGAATCCCAACAGGATGGTTTCTGTTGTCACTGAAGTCCAGGCTTTGTCGATCCATCCAGTGACTTCCAGGAAAGTTGCGTGGTGCACCGTCATGGTTGCCGTGAAGCTGTATGAAAATTTTAACATATAAGTCACACCGGAGTATAAGTTGCAGGCAACAACCAAACCATGAAAAAAAAAGTGTGACTTGTAGTCCAAAAAATACAGTACATTAACATTTCTGGGCATGTCAGTTATCATCTAGTTTAACTGTTTTTCTCATGGTAAATCCCTCTGCTGCCTGTAGATACCTTTTAAGCACCAGCTCTCAGTATGAGGCACACCGAAGCTTTGAAATAATATGTGGTTCTTTCATTAACCATTATTTTAAGTTCTAAAACATAAAATGCCAAAGCAAAGGTACTCGAACATATAAAGGCCCAAAACAATACAAATACTCCATAATATGTGTCTTTTAAGATGCTTAAAGTACCCATGTGGGATTTTGAATAAGGTTTGAATGTCTTTTTGTAGGGAAAACCCTTTTGTCGGAGGGGCCCAATCGCTGTGCTGGAAGAGTGGAGATCTTTCACAAAGGTCTATGGGCGGATGTGTGCACTGACTCCTGGGACATTTATGATGCCCAGGTCGTCTGTAACCAGCTCAACTGCGGCGCTCCCCATAAAATCATCACTGTCCCGGGCCGGACGACTGACCAGAAGTTGTGGGTCAACCAAACTGTCTGTAATGGACGTGAAGTGAGCATATCATTATGCCAGCTACAATTCTCAAACCAGAGCTGTGCGAACACTGCCGTGGCAGGGGTCATATGTGCAGGTATGAGTACTAAAGCCATATTTGCATGGGATGTTTGCAAAATTAAAATTACCCCACGATGATTGTGTTTTTGTGTACATTCACGCAGGATAAGACATGTCAGTAAACTACCTGTTTTTACAGACTTTATTGTGGAAGTAATCACGTTGCCAAAGTTGCTTTTATTTTCAGTTCGTTTTTAACAGAATGCACCTGCACTCTAGCGTCAGACACCATATTACCATATTTATGAACTCAGCGATCACAATGACATCCACACAATCAATTTTTTTATGAAACAGTCACAGTCTCTCTGTGTTAATCACTATTCAAACTTCACAAACTTTGCACCAAAGGCTCCCAACTTTTCTATAGACTATATGTTGCTGCTCCTCGGTTGCCACAAACACCGAGCTGTATGTCTGGATCACGTCTTTACCACAGTTTGTTTGATGTTTTTTTACTTTTTAATTGTAGAAAAATACAATAACTAGATTAGAGTATAGTCCATAGAGAATAAATATTGTTATTTAGTTCATATTTGGACCTAAAATGGGCCATAGAGATATTTTCAATAACTATTAGCTTCAATGCACAGTTGAAAAACAGATCAGTTTACAGACATGAGTGTTCACACAGGACTAGACTCACCTGAGGCGCTTGCAGGAGGGTGGGAGGTAAAATTTGGGGTAAATTTTTACAGACATTTTTACGGACATGGACGATTCACATGGGACTAGAAACTCAGATGAATTTCATAATTTTATCATTTATCAGTCCCAGGGTTTCAAAATGGCAAGTCAAAGGGCCCAGCTCAATGGTGCATGATTCCAGATTAGCCTTTAGCCCGGCAAGGTACTTCCAGTGGCTGTGGGCCGACCGAGCATGTGCAGTATTGTCTTTTCTCCCACGGGCACACGCAAATGCATGCATGGAGCCGGACGATTATAAAGCATTATTTAAGACAGCTGAAGGATTTTGAGCTGAGAAAAAGTTTATGATCTAAAAATAGGTAAAAATCGCCAACAAAGTTGTAGGTGCCCTGTCAGCCGAACACGAGCAGTTTGTGATTACATTGTGCTTTATGAGAAAAATCCTCTCTCAGCCCAGGGAGGCAGCTACAGGCAGCAACACCCTGTCCAGTTATTTCAATAGATCCATGGTTTAAGCCTATAGAGGCTTGCACCGTCAAGTGTCCCCCATGGCAACGGTACCTACGCTGCCATGATACCGGGCACGCTATGTTGTTGGCTTCAGTAGCATCGGAGAAACACGGGCAGGTTTTGTTGTGTATTTGGTTGTTCTAGCCACTCTGAAAAGGATAAAACGATATGTTTCTTTACTGTTCCTCTGGAAGTTACTCATCAGGAGCTCAAACGAGGGAATTATTGAAAAAAAAGACACGGATTATGGCTAGCAAAAATAAACCACAAAGAGATTTCCTATTGTACCATCAAGACACCCGACGTTTCATCAAGGTATTTGCTATTTAATTAGTTTCATAGCTTATTTAATGAAAGAAGCACATTCACTGAACTAAAATTTCATTAATTTATCCAGGAAAACCCGCAATAGTTTACGATTCAACGAACCCACACTGGGCTCCTATGATCAACATGGCGCACGAGTCGAAGAGTCTGTGAACCGAACCTCCAAAGAATCGGCCATGAAAAGATCCTCGCGAACGTTAGAAAGATCCGCTCGCAAAAAACAGTAAATTCTAGAAGACACAGTTGTGGATAAACAAGACAAAGAAAACATGGGTTCTACGACGAGTGACATGTTTATATGTGCGTTGGAAGATACAGTTTCTACTGCCACTCACACTGCAAATGTTTACTTTTTACATTTTAGTTCAGTAAATGTGCTTCTCTCATTAAATAAGCTATGAAACAATTTAAATAGCAAATACCTTGATGAAAGTGACGTGAGTGTGTCTTGATGGTACCATAGGAAATCTCTTCACGGTTTATGTTCTCTAGCCATAATTTCGTCTTTTTTTCAATAATTTCCTTGTTTGATCTCCTGATGAGTAATTTCCAGAGGAACAGTGAAGAAACGAATCGCTTTATCCTGTTCAGAGCGTCTAGAACAACCAAATACACAAGAAAACCTGCCCATGTTTCTCCGATGCTACTGAAGCCAAAGGTAGAGCGTGCCCAGTGTCATGGCGGCGTAGTTATCGTTGCCATGGGGGACACGTGACGGTGCAAAGCCTCTATAGATCCATGGGTCAAGAATGATTAAAAATTAGGACTGTTGTCATGCAATTAACAATATAAAACAAAATATTATATCTTTTGAATTGACAAAACCTGTCAGAATGTTGTATATAACATCTGAAACCCATGAATGGACACATGGCAGCTGATGTCATCAACCTTCCCTGAGGGTGTGAAGCTAAATGAAAGCATTACTCTGTCTGTTAAAAGCTCTGTTACTGATTTGTGCTGTTAAACAAGACTCTCACACCTAAAATGACAGTCACAAGCGAGCCAGGACTTCACTACTTTTACTTCATTACTTTCCACTGCTTATTCCTAGTGATGGGCGAATGGAGCCTCGTGAAGCATTGACACCTCAGTGGCAATATTGTCTCAAATGGTTCGACGTGTCTGAGGCCTTGGAAAAACACTGACCTCTAGTGGACAAATTTAACAATAAGACAATACTTGTGTGCAGAGCGACACCGTACCTAACAACAACAATAATAATAATAATGATGATTTAAAATAATATGTAAAGAGCAACATAAAAAGCATGCTGTAAATAAGAAAATAGGTGTTACTTTGTTAGGTGGAATTAGATCAAAGTGATCCCAAACCATGGATCGCTTTTTTCCACTTGTAGATGCCATCGAAAATGAAACAAATGCCAAAAGTCGCCAAAATCACCACTAACGTCACACAACACTCCTCACTACCCAACATTTTTAAGAAATATTGGTGCATCTTTTATACTGTTGCAGTTTAGCGCTTGTCAAAACACGGAAGTGCGCTGAACACTCTGCAGCATCTGAACCAATCACAGAGCGGAACATTCACTGATCCAATAAAACACTTCGATACACTGACGCGACTGACACGTAGAACGAAGCAGTAGGGGGAAGGACCGACACTTCCACACTTGGGTCACGTGAGCGGCTGCTGCGAGACGAGCTCCAAGGCAGTGCTTCGGAGCAATTTGTTTCAGAAAGAACGAGACGTGCTCCAGAGCTCCGACTCATTTGCCCATCACTAGTTATTCATAATAGGGGTGTAATAATATCCAAATTTCTCAGTACAAGCCTTTCTTTCTGTCATAAAAGTGCTAATTAAGTTATTTTATCATGTAAACTGGGCTGAAACAAAGGATCATGGTCTATGTAGTTCTGTTTTTTAGCTGTTACTGCACCATAACAATGAATTTAAGCAAAGAGCCTTGAGATTCAGTATGCTGTGATGGCCCATGGTATTAATGAGTGACTTCTGACGATACAAAAACACAATATTCGGGTTATTGTTACACCCTTAATTCCCAACACAGATTTTTAAAAACTTATTTCCATATTTTATTATTTACAGATGGCCTGGCGGTACAGCTCCGTGGGGAAGATCGCTGTTCAGGGCTTGTTTCGGTGAGGCAAGGAGAGAGGTGGGGGATGGTGTGTAATTCGGCCTGGAACTACAACAAAGCCAAAGTGATATGTGACATGCTGGAGTGTGGACACGTGGCCAATGTTTCCGCTTCGTTCCCGTTCTCTTCGCAAACTGCGGTGTTGCCCATATATGATGCAAGCGACACCTGTTTTAACAGCTTGGAGTCGATTCACAAGTGCTCGTCCAGCGGGTTCACGGCATCAAGGTGTGGCCATGACAAGGACGTCGGGATCGTATGTGGAGGTAATTAGATCAGGCGAATTGTTATTGTGTTTTGATTGCTTTAGATGGAGAGGTTGAGGACGCTTTTGTTGCTGTGGTTACCTGACCTGCCAGTCCCTTCTATATTCTGTTCAAATCCAGAAAAGTGAAAGTCCTCCACCCTAACTTGAGACGATCCAACCACAGCTGCTAATTTGTATCACTTCTCTCAAATGGGGAAGACATGTCCTCTCAATAATTCTTGTATCATTCAGAACAAAGTATACAACTTCTTTTACCTAAGTTTTTCCCCTTTTTACAGGTAAGCAGGCATGTTTGTTTTTGACACGAACAGAGCATGCATCTCTCCACCTGTCAATCATACCCTCTGAAATCAGAGAGACAGGATACAGCTCCAGATCAACTCGTCTTTGTAAAGTTTTCGCACTATAGGGCGCGCTCTTAAGCCTCCAACCCCATCAAAAAACATCTGCGCGCCCCACAATCCAGAGCGCCCTATACACGAATCCACTCGGGTGTCCCAGCACGACTTCAGTAAACTACAAAGCCGCACACCACCCGCAGAACACGCAAACACACACGGAGCAGACAGCGACCATGCAGCAAAAAACACCCACAGACACACTCATCACTCCACGCCGACGAGGAACGGAGGAACGAACCGAAAAAGCGAGTGCAATGTGCCACTTCTAGACACAACTGAACAACTGAGTCACTGCGAACACGCCGACAATCCGTTGGTCCCAGACAGCACCCTCCCTACACGCCACAACTGAACAAAGCCCAGAGTCACCGTGAACGCCCCAAACAAAGTCCCACTGACCCATCCAACTGTTGTTTCATTTAAAGTCTGGTGCGGTTTATTTGTGAAAAAAGTTCAAAATCCAGAATCCAGAGCACTAAGGGTGTACAAAAATATCTGAATATCAATATATCGTATCGTTTAATGTGATGATACAGTATCGATATCATGGGCTACTGTATCAATATATCACCAAGAGTATTTTTACGTGTGTTTTACTAAAACATTTTGTTACAGTAGCTACAGTTTTGTTGCTTGTGGAGTGAAAGGAAACTCATTTATGCAACACATTTGACATTTTGACACTGTTTGGAGGATTAAAATGTTTGTGTTTCATATGAACTTTGCACAAGAAGTGGTTTAACAAACACTTTTAGTATCACAGCCATGATTTAGCCTTTATTTTTTATTGAACTGTATCGAATCGATTTGAAATATATCATATCAAATTGAAAGTGCACTGTATCGAGATATATATCGTATCAAGGTATGTATCGTATCGGCAACTTCTTAATGATACCCAGTCCTACAGAGCGCCCTATAGGGTGGATAATATGGTAGTAAATAGCCTGACCAGAATATTAGCTGAACCAGTATTATGAAATTGATACCCAATCAGGCGATATTTTCTGTATCGCCAGTGATTCTGAATCCACACTTGGTGATGGTAAACTGGCAGACTGACGGAAACCAGGTTGCCAATCTGCGCCATTGGCCCCTCTAACTACCAACAACACCCACACCACACACTAGGCAATGTGGGTGACTTGTCTTGCCTAAAGGCAGTTTTGCCACTGATGCACGGCTGTTGCATCTGGTATTCCCAATGCTTTCCCATCCAAGTACTACCCAGGCCCGACTTTGTTTAGCTTTGAGATCAGGTGAGATCAGGGATAAACATGTTTGGTGATCTAAAGGATACATAAAGATACATATAACTTTTTTTCACATCATATTCCTCTTTAGCACTTTAACTGATAAAATTAGACCCTTGTGTTGTGTCTTGTGTTGTGATCCAAAATTGATTAGATCGCCATTATGACCCATGTATTGAGATACTGTTTCTATCTAAGAGTGTATCTTTGTGTCCCTGATATTTCCAGAACAAATGTAATAGTCTGTTATAGAAGATCGCAAACGTCTTTATTAATTATGTCTCATTCCAGGCGATGCATCCATCAGACTTGTGAACGGCTCCGACCACTGTTCTGGCAGAGTGGAGATCCTGTATAAGGGAAAGTGGGGGACGGTGTGCGATGACGACTGGGACATTCTCGACGCTCAGGTGGTCTGCCGTGCCAGCAAATGTGGATCTGCGATAATGGCTTTACCGGGGAGCTATTTCGGCGATGGAGCTGGAAATATTTGGCTGGACGATGTTGAATGTTTGGGGAATGAGACTTCACTTTTACACTGTCGTCACCCCGATCTTGGTAACAATAACTGTGGACACAGAGAAGATGCTGGGGTCATGTGCTCAGGTGTGTTTCTCTTTCTACAGTTACTTCTAGATATTAAAGGGCCCATATTACACTATTTTCTGAATTATGTTCCAGTGTTGTTTCCTCATCAAAAAAAAACCCAGAGTTTTGTTTCATTCACACATTTAACACACAAACCCTGCATATTTAGGCTGAGTTTTTCTCTTAAACAGAAAACACTCTGTTCCACCTTGTGTTAAACTCCACACACCTTCACTAGAATCATTTGGATAATTTCAGCTCTGGAATGGCCTATCTCCACTGAACAAAGGTAAACAGCAGCAGTTAACTTGAAAAATTACTGCTTCATGACATCACAAGGTGGAACAAAGCATAGTGATGTAGACAAACTACTGTATTTTCCGGACTATAAGTCGCTTCGGAGTATAAGTCGCATCAGCCAAAAAATGTGTAATGAAGAAGAAAAAAACATATTTTTTCACACTTTTTGGGGAAATTAATTTTATAAAATCAGAGACCAGGAACCGACATTTCATCTTGAAATGCAAGTTCTAGTAATAACAATAGAACAGAGAACAACAGACTGAACAGGCGTTAATATGTTAATGTAACATATGAACAGTTATTCAGATAATTATTGCATAAACAACAGAACATAAGTTTACCAAACTCATGATCTCACTCTAAATCACTAAATCCATTCAATTCTTCATCTTCTGTGTCACTTCTGTGCGACCTTCAGAGGTAAAACATAGATCCATGAGGTAAACAGAGCACTGCTTACTCTTCTGTGTAGCTGTTCGTCAGACTCAACTTCAGTTTCTGTTAGAATTATTCCAGCCTTTATGAATCCCGACAGGATGGTTTCGATGTCACTGAAGTTCAGGCTTTGTCGATTCATCCAGTGACTTCCAGGAAAGTTGCATGGCGCACCTGGGCAGTGCTGTGAAGCTGTGTTCTCCATCCCCGATTTCCACTAGTCCCTCACAAGTTTCTCGCTCACTCCAAACGTTCTTTCTGCTGCTTGATTACCGTTATATTATATTATTTTATAATATTTCATTATTTGCAGCAGAACAACTGCTTTTTCTACAGGAGACATGTGCAGTAGAGTGCGAAGTGACAGTGGTACAGGAGTAATAGGAGCAGCAGATATTGACACATGAGCCTAGAGCGCCCTCTAGCGACTGTCAGTCTGAAAATTTTAATATATAAGTCACACGGGAGTATAAGTCGCAGGAAACACCCAAACCATGAAAAAAGCGCGACTTATAGTCTGAAAAATACGGTAATAAAAATAAGTTTTGGTGAAGTAATTTTGCATCATATGGGACTTGTAACCTGATTATGACCGACTGAATGAATGGTTTACATTTCATTTGTTATTACCTGGTTTATCTGTGTAATCCGTCAGTCTTTCAGGGAGGATACATTGCAAAAGAAAATTCTATTCTGTCTGGACAGAAGTTTTAATGGCGAAAACAATTGTCCAGATAACAGAATTAATATAATTTTTGCAATTATTTGGCATGTTGGAATACCTATAGTGGCAGTTTGTGGAAAAAAGTTGAAGAAAATACAAATATGATTAAGTAGCAGTGAATTCTAAAACAACTACAGTGAATAGTTGTGAGTTCTACCCCTAGTTTGAGCAAAAATATACAAATAAAAACAGCTAGGAAAACAACTATCAAACTAATCGATGCAGTTGTTTCTGTTTAACAAAATTCAGCACAAATCCGTATCAAAATCACTACATTTGAAGCTTTTTTAGATCTCAAAATCTACAAGAAATACTGTTACTTTTTGCTCTTAAAGTACATTTTTAAACCAGTACTTTAATACTTTTAGTAGAGTATTTTTTGTTCCAGTATTAGACTTAGACAAACTTAATTCCCAAACTTAATAAATGTAGTAAAAACAAAATAGAAAAGTAATAAAAACTGTATCTGTATCTATTTTACTTAAGTAACAAAATTTAGTATTTATTCTACCTATGATTTTCAGCTCACCTCAGACTCCTTGATGGGCCTGACCAGTGCTCGGGCAACGTGGAGGTCAACTATAACGGAGACTGGCTCCCGGCACTGAACACAAGATGGGGAATGAACGAAGCGACTGTTGTGTGCAGAGAAATGAACTGTGGCGATGCAAAGGCAGTTACTGGATCATTTACACAAAGGGAGGTTCAGAGGGGCTTTAAAATCACCTGTACTGGGAGAGAGCGCTCCATTGGCCTCTGCACAGTACAAGACTACACCAGGACCGACCCTGAGCAACTTAAATATGCTTCTGTCACATGTTCAGGTAAGGATCTTGAATACAGTAAAATAGTATTACTGATAGGTTAGGCTACTCCTTTTGCTAAAACACAGTTGAGATCATTATAGAGTGATCCCTCGTTTATCGCGGGGGTTACGTTCTAAAAATAACTAAATAGGTGAAATCCGCCAAGTAGTCAACTTTATATTTTACCATTATTATATCTTTTTTTTTTTTAAGTCTGTAAAACCCCTCACCACACACTTTATACTCTTTTCTCAGACAGGACAGTTACAACCCTTTTTGGATCCTTTTTAAAACTTATTGCTGCTGTCGTCCTTATGTTATTTTCCTCCTTCTTTAAGTAATGAACCGAAGATTAATTTATTCCGTAATGGAGCACTACAGCGCAGAGTCCTGCACGGGTCCATTTTTGGAAACCCGCACCCGCGCGTTAACCCGAGATTATATTGAACTTTTGCGCTGCATACGCCACGAATTGAACCAAGACTAAACCAGGACTAACCAAGGACTGATTCCAGGACTGAAACAGGACTCACTGTCAGGACAGGCTCGGAGGTGACTGCAGGAGAAAGGACCGACGGAGAGCTCCGCACCTCACGAATGTATGCGTGGCCGTTCCCTGATCGCGCTTTGTGGACACCCTGCTTCGTTGTTCTCTCTTTTAAGTCCAAGATTAGTCCTGGTTTAGACCTGGTTTAGTCCTGGTTTAATCCTGACCCACCCACATACCCGCCCGTAAAATTCCAGAACATTAAAACTCGCCCGTTTCAGCAACTATTTGCCCGTACAAGACCCGGTGCAAGACTCTGCTATAGCCGCGGCGTAACTTCTACCTTCTTTCAGTGTGTCCAGAAATCCAACTTTTTGTGCGATGGTTTGCATCTTCCTCTGCCTTTTTGTGTGCGACCGCAGGAGCCTTTGTCGGTGCTGAACTTTTCGTCGACATTGTGGGTTTTGTCGGGGAGAAAACTTGCAAACATACGGCACTTCAGAATCACACTGTTGGAGATCAAACGTCTATGTCAATTTGGCTGAATGCATTCTGTACTGTACAGGAGACACGGCACAGAGGAAAATGATTGACAGTGGTATACAGTCTCTTAGCCAATCAGGACGCAGGGGGAGGAACACAATGCACCTTCATACACTGTAAAAAAAAAAAAAAAAAAAAAAAAGGCACTAAAAGAATCTGGGAAACAACGAGACCGTGAAAAGTGAACCGCGATATAGCGAGGGACAACTGTATTAAAGATTTTTGCAAAAACATTCACACTAAAATTCACATTCACACTAGGGAATTCGTAACCGTCCCCTAGCAAAACTCCTCTAATGTACACGGGAATTATTATCTGACAAATACACACATGAGAAAACACCTTTTATTTTGTTGAAATCATGTTTAAAGTATCAGAAAAATGTCATGTGGTAATACTGTGGCAATATTAAACTCCACAAACCTTCATTAGAATCATTTGGATAATTTTAGCTCTGGAATGGCCTATCTCCACTGAACAAAAGGTAAAAGGCAGCTATTAACTTGAAGGTGGAACAGAGCATTCTGAGCTTTAGTGATGTATACAAACTAATAAAAATAAGTTTTGGTGAGGTAATTTTGCATAATAAGGGACCTCTTCCCCTGCAAAACTCCTATTGTACACAGGAATTATCTGGCAAATACACACATGAGAAAGCATCTTTATTTTGTTGAAATCATGTGTTGTGAATAAATTGTGCCAAAATTTATGATAGAATTCTCCCCAGCGTGATGTCATCAATATGTTTGAATTCTCCTGTAATTTCCAACATATATGTCAACTTTTTTTCAAAAAAACTCTTCTTGATTGTTGTGAAACTATAATTTATTTTTACAATAGTTATAATTCCTCTAAATTAAATCAAAAACGCACGTAGCTTTGACTTAAAGGTGCATTTTGTAACTTTTCAGGTGGAGGGTTCGTCAAATGCTTTTCTTCATGAAGATGTTATTGCCTTCATCTGGAATGTTTTACAGTCTTGTAGTAAATCTTTCTATCTTCATGGAGACCAGCCAAACCAAGTTACAGGCCAGATCTGTTTAGAGGCGACCCCGCTCAAAGTCAGAACGCTTGTTGTTCTAGGTCTTTTTGAGCTATAAAACCACTTGTAATTGAATAAATGTAGGGTAGAGCTCTTTAACATCATACTGTGGAACATTCCAAGAAAAGCGATGACATTTCCATAGAAACAAGAAACTAATAGGCCCACTACCGAAAAGTTACACAGTGCACTTTAATAACTTGATTGATAAATAAATACAAAAAGAGAAATGCTGTAGTTGACTATAGGCCTAAACTATGCTATGAGGCTAACAGAATGTATTTGAATTCATTTGCAGGTATTGTGAAACTGGTAGGTGGTCCAAACCGCTGTGCTGGGCGACTGGAGATGTTTCACAAAGGCCAGTGGGGGGACGTGTGTGGACAGTCTTGGGACATGAATGATGCAGAGGTGGTCTGTCAGCAGCTCAACTGTGGAAAGGCTTTTAAACTGACGACTGACTCGAGTCAGTACGGCCTTGGGAGGGGCGGGTTCAACGTGGAGCACATCGCCTGCAACGGCCGAGAGTCTCTGGTGCAGCACTGCGCCATTACTCATGGGGGGAAAAACTGCAATGCTTCTTCGGTGGCTGCAGTCATCTGCTCAGGTATGAGACCATAACAATGGTAATATGGTATTTGCAGGCAGTTCAACCATTGCTGTAAAAAGGCTGAACCTGGTCAGTTCATTGTCAAGTCAAATTTGTGTTTATACCAGGTTTACAAATTGCTGGGTATGTTACAAGTCTTTGGTGCTGCATTCCATCTGGTTTACCCAGTTTGAAAACTTTGAAGTTTTGGATTGGTTTCTTTCTTATGATAGTAAAGTCAAATCTTTTACTTTATTATCATAAGAAACAAGGATGGCAGATTGTCTAATATGTGCATTCAGTGCTCCAGGGGACCCTAAATTGGTTTTCCAGTCCCTATATGACTGGAACAAGAACTTGGTTCATTGCATCAGTAAAAACCTATTCACTGTGCATGGTGGTTTTTATTCACTGTGTACACTGGTTTCACCAGGGTTGTCTGTTGGTAGTGGTACTGTCATTATGTGTATGTGACGGACAGAATTTCCATGTGCACTCTGCCTCCTGAGAAGTTACAGGACCTGCTCTGCCTCATACTGTACCTACAAATTCTGTGGCGTCCTCCACTTTTTTCTGCTTATTTCAGATTTTGCAAAGTAAGACCTGCAGTGTGCAGGCTTGTGAAGCCACTAAAATAAAAATGATCAACTCCAAAACAAAGGTCATGTTTCTTAACCCCTTAATGCCTGAATTTATATCCAGGATAGTCCATGCCCTAGGTAAAAGAGAATCTTCTAGTTGTGCTTAAAAAAAGGAAGGATGGATGGATGCATGTTGACATGTGATACAAGCAGCCAAAATGTGTTTATTTATACAATGTTATTTTCTGTCTCTGGCCCAACAGACAGTCTGAACATCCGGCTGGTGGGAGGTATAGATCGGTGCAGTGGCAGAGTGGAGGTGCGTATGGGCAGCGTTTGGGGCTCTGTGTGTGGTGCAGACTGGAGCGTGGAGAGGGCTGAGACTCTGTGTGAGCTGCTGGAGTGTGGACAGGCAATCAACGTTACCACAGTGCCTCACAAAGCAGCAGTGGCAGTGTCCGACCCTGCACAGTCCTGCTTCAGCAGCGTACACAGTCTGAAGATGTGTCTGAACAGTGGACTGCCACGGGCCACGTGTGCACAGGGCGATGCCAGTCTGGTGTGTGCAGGTAAAACATTTGTAACTCTATGATACACATGAGTCATACTTTTGTGTTTTTACTTAGTGTGTGCTTTTGTTGTCTTCTTTAATACCTTCTCCTGGAGCATTGAGAAATAAGACCTGCTTGCATAAGTACATTACAGTACTTTACATTATAAAAAGCAATCTCAAGTTAAAATGATGTAGTGAATTTGTTTTGAAGGCTGGCTATTGTACATTCTTAAAGGTCTTATATTATGCAAACTGACTCTTGTGAGCTTTAAGCCATGTTAGAATGTTGGCAAAGGAGAAATTCAATTTGTCAGCTGGACAAAAGTTTATTTGGTCGAATACGTTTCACAGCTCATCCAAGCTGCTTCTTCAGTTCTGTCAGAATGCTGGTGGACACTTGGATTTACAGTGTCTGTTTGCAGGGAGGAGCTAAATAACTACTCTGAAACTAACACAACTACATGTTTACAGTTTCTGTTAGTCATTGAAAATGAAATGCATTTTCTGTTTTACTGTCCTTTGTATCATGACCTTCGCTGTCAGTTGTGTCTAATGTGTCTTTCTGTTGGTTTGTTATGTCTGATGAGGAGAGACTGAAGTATTTGTTTAAATGTAATGTTTTTAAGTTGGCTCAGTTTGTGCTGAAAGCCTGGGACCTCCGTAAGAGGACACTTTGTTTGACGTGTGATCTGTCTGCTTCTTGTTTTATGTGTCTTATAAGTCCATGCAGCCTGGGCACCAACTAAATGGTGCATGACACTAAATAAGTAAACTAAACTAAACTAAGTTAGTTAGGCCTATTGAACTTGCACTGGGTGTGGGGTCTTATTAGCATAATAAATCAGGTCCATAATGGAGTTTTCACACCTCTGGACCTGACCTGGCAACCCCTATTGTTCTCTTGTTTGATTTGATTTAGGTTTGAGGATGGAGTTGTAAATAGGAGATAGCCTGAGGCCTCCATTCCTGTTTAAAGAAGGATTCTCTTTCTTAACAAAAACTGCCTTATTAACTCTCCTCTCAAACCAACTTTTTCTCTGTCTAAGATCTGTACCTCACTATCCTCAAAAGAGTGGCCCGTGGATTTTAGGTGGAGATGTACGGCAGACTGAGGTCCTGTGCTGCTCTCTCGTCTGTGTTGGTTCATCCTCTTGTGAAGTGGCTGTTTTGTTTCTCCAGTGTAGTGCTCACTGCAGTCTTCACTACACTGAATGGAGTAGACCACATTGTTTTGTTTGTGGCTCGGTGTTTTATCGTGGACCAGTTTCTGTCTTAAAGTGTTTGTAGGTTTGGAATAGACCGGGATCTTATGTTGTTAGAAAATTCTCTGTAGTTTTTCAGAAACACCAGCTATGTAAAGAATAGTTACACCCTTCCTTCTGGGTTCTGATTCTCCGTTATCCTGTTTTTTAGCTCTCTTTGTTTTATTGAAAGCCCATTTCGGATGTCGACAAACAGAGAGGGCTTTCAGACAAATTGAATTTCTCCTTTGCCATGGATTCTACCTGGACGACTGAGGGATTTCTTAGAATGTTGTTACCTCCTAAAAAAACATACCTGGAGATTTGCTTTGTTTCATTCACATGTTTGACTAATCCTGCATTTTTAGTCTGTCTATATCTCTGAGGCTCAACTTATTCTGTCCCACCTTGTGATGTCATGAAGTGGTAGTTAAAGCTACAGTTTTTAAACTCCGTACACCTCAATTGCTAGTCACTACTAAATAAAAGATAAAAAGTAGCTGTTAACTTGAAAACGTTCACTACGGAACATTTTGAGCTTTGGAAATGGGTCCGGTCAAGTGGTAACGGAGGGAAACGGGCAGATTTTTTACATTCAAATGTCTCTTATTCAGAAACTAGAGGGACTATTGAAATAAGTAAAGTATCAGAATGTAGGAAAGAGTTACACTCCAACAGGGTCAAGTTAAACCTGTGATATTCTTTCAAGTTGTTGACAAAAAATTTTAAAACTCATGGCGGTAACAGAGGGAATAAAATATGCAGCACTTTTTGGGCAATAAATCCAAACAGTGATAACTCTTGGTTCTCACTTACATATCCTTAACAAACTGGTTTGAATATTTGCTTCATATAGTTTTCTACCATATGGTACAAGATTAGGTAGAAAAATGTCTTACTTTTTGAGCAATGAGATTTTTTATTAAGAAAGGTCATGGTAACGGAGGGAAAATTGTGCAAGCAAGTAGAAGGTGCATGATTTTGCATAATTTGTCGCTTTTTTCTTCCGAATACTTTAATATGACTTCAAAATGAAAGGAAACTATTTCTATAAAATATGTCAGTCCTTCCAAGCAAATTTTTATCATTTTAAATACATAAAAAAAAAAAAAATCACAAAAAAAATCGTACCTTCATCAACAGTTCAAAGATTGAATAACACAAGATATGATGAAATACATCCATTTATTTACATGATTTTCAGGTCTTTAAAATTTGGGAAATAATTTTTGTTCCATGTTTCATACATGGTCTGTTTAAAACATATGGAACTTTAGAACCAAAAATGGAACAGAAAAAAGGTCAACAGTTTCATAATCATCATCATCATCATCATTTCATCAGTACATATGTATCTGTTCAATACATTTTTATATCAGATGCATTACCTTGAATTTTTGGCCTTGCTGTTTACTTCTGCTTGACTGGGCCTAAATGTAGACAGACTACTAACCCAGGATTACTGAACACAACTCCGTGTATGTTTTTGATGAGGTACCAACATTCTAACATGAACTGAAGCTCACAAGAGTCAGTTTTGAGTAATGTAGGGAGTTTTAAATTCCTCTTATACATTCATTGTTGATCCAGTCTGCTTTGCTCCACAGCTCAGCTCCGTCTGGTGGGTGGTCCAAACTCGTGCGCAGGTCGAGTCGAGGTTTTTCACAAAGGAGACTGGGGAACTGTGTGCGACGATGATTGGGATTTGGCCGAGGCGAAGGTTGTGTGCAGGCAGTTGGGGTGTGGGCTCCCTGTATCCGTGGGCACTTACGGCAGAGGCTCGGGGCAGATATGGTTGGACAATATGCACTGTTCAGGCACAGAATCAGTGATGACGCAGTGCGGCCATAACGGCTGGGCCAATCACAACTGCGGCCATGACGAAGACGCTGGGGTCACTTGTTTGGGTGAGTCAAACGTGTATGTTGGTAGGTTTCACATGACATGACAACATTATACAGGTGACTAGTATTTAAAGGTGCGCTAACTTTTTGGTTGGGGGTCTGTCACCTGCTCTGCCTGGAATGTTAAACGGTTCTACCTCACATTATTTCAATTACAGGTGGTTTTATAGCTCAAAAATGCTTCAAAAAACAAGCATTCTAACTGTGACCAGGGTCGCCTCTCCATTGATCTGACCTATAACTTGGTCTGGTTTGGTCTCCATGAAAATAGAAAGGTTTAATACCATACTGTGAAACATTCCAGACAAAATAATAACATATCCATAGAGAAAAGCATGACAGACCCTCTACTCAAAAAAATTACACAATGCACCTTTTTTTCAGCACACTTCTTCATCTAATTTTCTTGTTAATCTTTTCTTAATTTTCTGTATTTCCATTGTAGATTCTCACTGAATGCGTCAGGACTATGGATGGACACATATGGAATGTAGCAAACAAAACATTTATTCAAAATAACCCAAAACTTTTAGATAAAATAATAAAACAAAATAGCCGCCCTTTGCCCTGAACCCTGGTTTGCACTTATGGCATTTCTTGACCCTGACACAGCCCACCTATGAAGTGAAAACCATTTCAAGAAGCTCATTGTGAGAAGGTCAAGAGTTTGCAGCGCCACTGACAAAGCAAAGGGTGGCCACTTATTTAACTTTTTTCTTTGCTACATAATTTCATACATTTTGCTATAAAATGTTAGCCTGATTCATCAGCCGGTTTCACTTTGTGGAAACTGTCTGACCTCGCAGCATTAGGATTCATTTACTCAGTGGTAGGCTGGTCTTATTTTTTTATTTAACCAATCGCTGCTATTTGGTTTGTGACGTATGTAATGCTCTGTTTCTGGAGGAGCGGGGGTGGTCCGGGCTCTGGTTCTGGAGGAGCAGGGGTGGTCCGGGCTCTGGTTCTGGTTTGGAGGAGCGGGGGTGCTCGGGGCTCTGGTTCTGGTCTGGAGGAGCAGGGGTGCTCGGGGCTCTGGTCTGGAGGAGCGGGGGTGATGGGCCGGGCTCTGGTTCTGGACGAGTGAGGGGGTGGTCCGGGCTCTGGTTCTGGAGGAGTGAGGGCATAATCCGGGCTCTGGTTCTGGAGGAGCGGGGGTGGTCCAGGCTCTGGTTCTGGAGGAGCGGGGGTGGTCCAGGCTCTGGTTCTGGAGGAGCGGGGGTGGACCGGGCTCTGGTTCTGGAGGAGCGGGGGTGGTCGGAGCTCTGGTTCTGGTCTGGAGGAGCGGGGGTGGTCCGGGCTCTGGTTCTGGTCTGGAGGAGCGGGGGTGGTCCGGGCTCTGGTTCTGGAGGAGCGGGGGTGGTGGTCGGGACTCTGGTTCTGGAGGAGCGGGGGGGGTGGTGGTCGGGACTCTGGTTCTGGAGGAGCGGGGGTGGTCCGGGCTCTGGTTCTGGTCTGGAGCGGGGGTGGTCCGGGCTCTGGTTCTGGAGGAGCGGGGGTGGTCCGGGCTCTGGTTCTGGAGGAGCGGGGGTGGTCCGGGCTCTGGTTCTGGAGGAGCGGGGGGTGGTCCGGGCTCTGGTTCTGGTCTGGAGGAGCAGGGGTGGTCCGGCCTCTGGTTCTGGAGGAGCGGGGGTGGTGGTCGGGACTCTGGTTCTGGAGGAGCGGGGGTGGTCCGGGCTCTGGTTCTGGAGGAGCGGGGGTGGTGGTCCGGGCTCTGGTTCTGGAGGAGCGGGGTGGTGGTCGGGACTCTGGTTCTGGAGGAGCGGGGGTGGTCGGGCTCTGGTTCTGGAGGAGCGGGGGTGGTGGTCCGGGCTCTGGTTCTGGAGGAGCGGGGGTGGTGGTCCGGGCTCTGGTTCTGGAGGAGCAGGGGTGGTGGTCCGGCCTCTGGTTCTGGAGGAGCGGGGGTGGTGGTCGGGACTCTGGTTCTGGAGGAGCAGGGGTGGTCGGGGCTTTGGTTCTGGAGGAGCGGGGGTGGTGGTCGGGACTCTGGTTCTGGTGGAGCGGGGGTGGTTGTCGGGACTCTGGTTCTGGTGGAGCAGGGGTGGTCCGGGCTCTGGTTCTGGAGGAGCGGGGGTGGTGGTCGGGACTCTGGTTCTGGAGGAGCGGGGGTGGTGGTCGGGACTCTGGTTCTGGTGGAGCGGGGGTGGTGGTCGGGACTCTGGTTCTGGTGGAGCGGGGGTGGTGGTCGGGGCTCTGGTTCTGATGGAGCGGGGGTGGTCCGGGCTCTGGTTCTGGAGGAGCGGGGGTGGTGGTCGGGACTCTGGTTCTGGTGGAGCGGGGGTGGTGGTCGGGGCTCTGGTTCTGGTGGAGCGGGGGTGGTCCGGCTCTGGTTCTGGAGGAGCGGGGGTGGTGGTCGGGACTCTGGTTCTGGTGGAGCGGGGGTGGTGGTCGGGACTCTGGTTCTGGAGGAGCGGGGGTGGTGGTCGGGACTCTGGTTCTGGTGGAGCGGGGGTGGTGGTCGGGACTCTGGTTCTGGTGGAGCGGGGGTGGTCTGCTAGTCGAAAGTTTGGAGGCACCTTCTCATTCAGGGTTCAAAGTACTACTACTGCTACATTGTAAATACATACTGAAGCCATCAAATATATGAAGCAAAATGAATGGAATAATGCAACAAAGAAAAAAAAAGTGAAATAATTCAAACCCTCAAAGTAGAAACCATTGGCCTTTTCCTATGAGCTTTTTGATGACGTCACATGTGTTAATTCGTGAAATACCAAAAGCGTGCAAAGCAGTGATTAAAGCAAAGACTAATTTGAGGAATCCGGAACATTCCAAATGAGTACATTCGTAGTTTTAAAGTCCTCAGTTAGAATCTACAAGGCAAATAATCACAAAAATGTATCCAAACCATTATCTGGTATTTTTGTACTGTCATAAGTCAAATAAATGTGTTGGCCATGTGATAATGTTTAAAGCAACCCTAAAATTAAATGATTTGCTGTGTTTTGAATACTACAGATACATTTGAAAAACCCAGGATTCTCATGAGTCCTGGTCCTGTGGTGATCTGGGGGGAGAGAGTGGACATCACCTGTACATTATCATCGCAGCAGAACGGGAGAGGGACTTTTGCGCTGAGGAAAAGCAATACCACGTTTAGAATGGAAAAATCCACTGAAAACCAGGCCGCCGTGTTCAGCTTGCTCCAAGTTAACCTCAGCCTAAACGGTTTCTACTACTGTGAATACCAGAAGAGAGTGTCAAGGGACGTGATCTACTATCCTGAAGGGGCGGCTGCTGAACTCACAGTCACAGGTAATCTAACATGTATTTTAATGTTATTTTAATGAATTATTGAGTTATTTTGAGTTTAGTTTTGAAATGTAAAGCCTTCTATAGCTTGTTATTTGCAGTGATATGTTGGAGTTGTCAAGGGTGCACTGCATCATCGTATATTTTTACAGTAATGATTAGAGTAACCAGTAATCCAGGTTATTATCTTAAAAAATAATGACATTTATATACTAAAGTTATGTTAATCCATCTATCATTCGTTCATTCGATATAAAACCAAATATAAGAAAAATGAAAAAACAACAATTTTCTTCATTATTTGTCTCCAAAACCAAAATGAAAAAACAGATAACAATGTGTTTTTTTTCTGTTTTCAATTTTCTGTTTAAATGAATAATGGAAAAAACGGATAATGGCCATTTCCCGTTTTCGTGACGGACTGAACCAGGACTGAACCAGGACTAAAACAGGATTAAACCAGATCTAAAGCAGGACTAAAGCAGGACTGAAACAGGACTAAACCAGAACTGAACTACGACTAAACCAGGTCTAAACCAGGACTAAGCCAGGACTAAACCGGTCTCAGTCCTGGTCTCAGTCCTGGTCTCAGTCCCGTTCTGGTCCCGGTCTTAGTCCTGATCTGGTCCCGGTCTGGTCCCGGTCTCAGTCCTGATCACCTGACAGTCTACGCAGGTGTAAATCCGGAGTGTTCCAACACTTTTGGTTCAGTCCTGTTTTAATCCTATTTTAATCCTGTTTTAATCCTGTTTTAGTCCTGGTTCAGTGCTGGTTCAGTCCTGGTTCAGTCCTGGTTTAGTCCTGGTTTAGTCCTTTTTTAATCCTGGTTTAGTCCTGGTTTAGTCCTTTTTAAATCCTTTTTTAGTCCTGTTTAGTCCTTTTTTAATCCTGGTTCAGTCCTGGTTCAGTCCTGGTTTAGTCCTGGTTTAGTCCTTTTTTAATTAATCCTGTTTTAGTCCTGGTTTAGTACTGGTTTAGTCCTGGTTCAGTCCTGGTTTAGTCCAGCATCTGTTTAAGTCACAGAAACGGGAAACAGCCATTATCTGTTTTTTTCATTTTGGTTTTGGAGACAAATAATGACGAAAATACTTTTTTTGTTTTGTTTTGTTTTCTTATTTTTTGGTTTTATTGTGAAAAACAAATGAACAAATGATACACAGATTTATGTTCCTAAATTGCCTAAATCATTCCTACAATTAAGCTCCACTAGACAGCGATTTTATTATTTTGTTATTTCTATTGTGAACCAAATAATAGGTTGAAATATGGTGATTCAAGGATTTAGAGCTGAAATATTGGAATGTATTATTGAAAAATGTCACATTATTTATTTTTTATTTATCATGTGTTTTATAGTCTGTATGGTTCAGATAACATTTCTTAAAACACAATTACGCACACAATTATTATTTAAACAGTTGACGACTCATTATAATTATTTAAATTATCGTTGCAGCGCTAGTAAAAATGTCACCAATATTATGTCACAAAGCATATTGAATTATAAGGTTCCAAGTCATTTATAGCTCTGTTTAACATATTTTATTTTAATTGTTTCACAGTGAGACTGGAAAAACCCACTCTCTCAATGACATCGGTTTACCCAATGGTGGTGTCCAGTAAAGAAAACATTTCCATCAGCAGAGGGCACAGCTGCAATATGACCTGTTCGGTGCATTCGCCCTTTCCTGGTGGTTTCTTCTACTTAACTAAGTCTAAGGTTAAACTGAACGAACCAAAACCTGCAGTACACCTGTCTGACCATGTGGTGGCGGTCTTTGAGTTTTCCTACATGGATTATTTGCACCAAGGGGAGTACAGCTGCGTCTTTGGTGTCAACATGTCCTCGCAAACTTTTGAATCTGCTCCATCTCAAAGTCTTCACGTCACTGTGGCTGGTGAGTTCAAAAAGTGGAACTAAACAGTAAATCAACTTTTTTGGGCGGTACCAGATGTTTTCGTAGCATTGTGTATTGTTCTTAGTCCTTGTATGGTGATTTAAATGCACACTAAAAAAAAAAATCACACACACCCCTCCCCCTCCCCTTTAGTCCTCTAGACCCCACTTCTTCTCAGTCTCCCCTTTAGACCCCACCTCTTCTTACTCTCTCTCTCCTCTTTTGTCCTTTACACCCAGCATCTTCCCCCTCTCACTCTCTCCTTTAGTCCTCTAGACCTCGCCTCTTCTCCCTCTCCTCTTTAATCCTTTTGGCCCCCACCTCTTCTCACTCTCCCCTTTAGTCCTCTAGACCCTGCATCTTCTCACTCTCACTCTCCCCATTAGTCATCTAGATCTCACCTCTTCTCACTCTACCCTTTAGTCCTCTAGACCCTGCCTCTTCTCACTCTCACTCTCCCCTTTAGTCCTCTAGACCCCACCCACCTCTTCTCACTCTCACTCTCCCCTTTAGTCCTCTAGACACAGCCTCCTTTCCTCTCTCACTCTCCCCTTTAATCCTTTTGGCCCCCACCGCTTCTCACTCTCCCCTTTAGTCTGTTAGGCCCCCACCTCTTCTCATTCTCACTCTAACTTTTTAGTCCTCTAGACCTTGCCTCTTCTCACTCTCCCCTTTAGTCTTCTAGAGCTTGCCTCTTCTTCCCCTCCCCTTTAGTCTTTTTGGCCCCCACCTCTTTTCCCTCTCACTCTCCCGTTTAGTCCTCTAGACCTCGCTTCTTCTCACTCTCCCCTTTAGTCCTCTAGACCTCGCTTCTTCTCATTTTCCTTTAGTCCTCTAGACCTCGCTTCTTCTCACTCTCCCCCTTAGTCCTCTAGACGCCACCTCTTCTTCCTCTTATTCTCCCCTTTAGTCCTCTAGACCCCACCCACCTCTTCTCACTCTCCTCTTTAGTCCTCTAGACCTTGCCTCTTCTCACTCTCCCCTTTAGTCCTCTAGACCTCGCTTCCTCTTACTCTCCCCTTTAGTCCTCTAGACCCTTCCTCTTCTCCCCCTCCCATTTAGTCCTCTAGACCTCACCTCTTCTCACTCTCACTCTTCCCTTTAGTCTTCTAGACCCCACCCACCTCTTCTCACTCTCCTCTTTAGTCCTCTAGACTTCGTCTCTTCTCACTCTCCCTTTTAATCCTTTTGACCCCCATCTCTTCTCACTCTCCTCTTTAGTCCTCCAGACATAGCCTCCTTTCCCCTCTCACTCTCCCCTTTAGTCCTCTAGACTTCGTCTCTTCTCACTCTCCCTTTTAATCCTTTTGACCCCCACCTCTTCTCACTCTCACTCTCCCCTTTAGTCCTCTAGACCTTGAGTTTTCTCACTGTCACTCTCCCCTTTAGTCCTCTAGACCTCACTTCTTCTCACTCTCCCCTTTAGTCCTCTAGACCTGCCTCTTCTCCCTCTTACTCTCCCCTTTAGTCCTCTAGACCTTGCCTCTTCTCACTCTTTCCTTTTGTCCTCTAGACCTCGCTTCTTCTCACTCTCCCCTTTAGTCCTCTAGACCTCACTTCTCACTCTCCCTTTAGTCCTCTAGACCTCGCCTCTTCTCACTCTCCCCTTTAGTCCTCTAGACCTCGCTTCTTCTCCCACTTACTCTCCCCTTTAGTCCTCTAGACCCTACCTCTTCTCACTCTCACTCTCCCCTTTAGTCCTCTAGACCCCACTCGCCTCTTCTCACTCTCCTCTTTAGTCCTCTAGACTTCGTCTCTTCTCACTCTCCCTTTTAATCCTTTTGACCCCCACCTCTTCTCACACTCTCCCTCCCCTTTAGTTCTCTAGACCTCGAGTTTTCTCACTGTCACTCTCTTTACTCTAGACCTCCTTCTCACTCTCCCTTTAGTCTCTAGACTCGCCTCTTCTCCCTCTTACTTCCCCTTTAGTCCTCTAGACCTTGCTCTTCTCACTCTTTCCTTTAGTCCTCTTGACCTTCTTCTCACTCTCCCCTTTAGTCTCTAGACTCTCCCCTTTAGTCCTCTAGACCTCACCTCTTCTCATCTTCTCCTTACTCTCCCCTTTAGTCCTCTAGACCTCACCTCTCTCTCTTACTCTCCCCTTTAGTCCTCTAGACCTCTCTCTCTCTTTCTTAGCTTTCTCTCTCCTCCTCTTCTCACTCTCCCCTTTAGTCCTCTAGACCCTACCTCTTCTCACTCTCCTTTTAGTCCTCTAGACTCCTTTCTCACTCACTCTCCCTTTAGTCCTCTAGACCCACCTCTTCTCACTCTTACTCTCCCCTTTAGTCCTCTAGACCCACCTCTCTTCTCACTCTCCCTTTAGTCCTCTAGACTTCTCACTCTCCTTTAATCCCTCTCTCTCACTCTCCCTTTAGTCCTCCAGACATAGCCTCCTTTCCCCTCTCACTCTCCCCTTTAGTCCTCTAGACTTCGTCTCTTCTCACTCTCCCTTTTAATCCTTTTGACCCCCACCTCTTCTCACTCTCACTCTCCCCTTTAGTCCTCTAGACCTCGAGTTTTCTCACTGTCACTCTCCCCTTTAGTCCTCTAGACCTCGCCTCTTCTCCCTCTTACTCTCCCCTTTAGTCCTCTAGACCTTGCCTCTTCTCACTCTTTCCTTTAGTCCTCTAGACCTCGCTTCTTCTCACTCTCCCCTTTAGTCCTCTAGACCGTGCCTCTTCTCCCTCTTACTCTCCCTTTAGTCTCCCCCCTCCCGTTTAGTCCTCTAGACCCTACCTTCTTCTCACTGTCACTCTCCCATTTAGTCCTCTAGAACTCACCTCTTCTCACTTTCACTCTCCCCTTTAGTCCTCTAGACTCCCTCTCTCCAGACATACCTCTCTCACTCTCCTCTAGACCTCTACTTCGTCTCTTCTCACTCTCCTTTTAATCCTTGTGTCTTCTCACTCTTCTCTTTAGTCCTCGCCTCCTTTCCCCCTCTCTCTCTTCTCTAGCTCTTCTCTCTCCTTTTTAATCCTTTGACCCCATCTTTCTCACTCTCTCTTTAGTCCTCCAGACATAGCCTCCTTTCCCCTCTCTCTCTCCCCTTTAGTCCTCTAGACTTCGTCTCTTCTCACTCTCCCTTTTAATCCTTGTGACCCCCACCTCTTCTCCTCTCTCTCTCACTCTCTCGAGTTTCCTGTCCTCCCCTTTAGTCCTCTAGACCTTGAGTTTTCTCACTGTCACTCTCCCCTTTAGTCCTCTAGACTTGCCTTCTCACTCTTTCCTTTAGTCCTCTAGACCTCGCTTCTTCTCACTCTCCCCTTTAGTCCTCTAGACCGCCCTCTTCTCCCTCTTACTCTCCCCTTTAGTCCTCTAGACCTTGCCTCTTCTCACTCTTTCCTTTAGTCCTCTAGACCCTCGCTTCTTCTCACTCTCCCCTTTAGTCCTCTAGACCTCACCTCTTCTCACTGTCACTCTCCCCTTTAGTCCTCTAGACCCCACCCACCTCTTCTCACTCTCCTCTTTAGTCCTCCAGACATAGCCTCCTTTCCCCTCTCTCTCTCCCCTTTAGACCTCTAGACTTCGTCTCTTCTCACTCTCCCTTTTAATCCTTGTGACCCCCACCTCTTCTCACTCTTCTCTTTAGTCCTCCAGACATAGCCTCCTTTCCCCTCTCTCTCTCCCCTTTAGACCTCTAGACTTCGTCTCTTCTCACTCTCTTTTAATCCACCCCCTTTCTCTCTTTCTCTTTAGTCCTCCAGACATAGCCTCCTTTCCCCTCTCTCTCTCCCCTTTAGACCTCTAGACTTCGTCTCTTCTCACTCTCCCTTTTAATCCTTGTGACCCCCACCTCTTCTCACTCTCCCCTTTAGTCCTCTAGACCTTGAGTTTTTCTCACTGTCACTCTGCCCTTTAGTCCTCTAGACCTTGAGTTTTCTCACTGTCACTCTGCCCTTTAGTCCTCTAGAACTTGCCTCTTCTCACTCTTTCCTTTAGTCCTCTAGACCTCGCTTCTTCTCACTCTCCCCTTTAGTCCTCTAGACGCCACCTCTTCTCCCTCTTACTCTCCCCTTTAGTCCTCTAGACCTTGCCTCTTCTCACTCTTTCCTTTAGTCCTCTAGACCTCGCTTCTTCTCACTCTCCCCTTTAGTCCTCTAGACGCCACCTCTTCTCCCTCTTACTCTCCCCTTTAGTCCTCTAGACCCCAATAAAACCACCTGTAATTGAATAAACGTACGGTAGATCTGTTTAATGTCATACTGTATTGTTGTTATTCAGTTTGATGTATAGTTTTAGTTTTGCGTTTAGTCATTTTTGTGGTTCTGTCCAGTTTGTGTAATACTCTTTGGTCTGATTTCGCCAACAGCCCACACTGCTGCTTCAGTTGCCGTCGGAATAGTGATGACCTTGTTGTTGTTGGCCGCACTGGGAGGAGTGGGCTATTTCATCTGGTGGAAGAAAAGATGGAACACTGGTAGGTCACAGATTCAGAGCACACATAAAAAACAAAAAAAAAATCTAAATTGTTCTATATTTTGGTAATAATTTCTTTCAATCATTTCAGACAGCATAGTGGGGTTTGTTAACAGAGTCGGAGGAGCAATACAAAACATCGGAAACAATGGCAGGTAAGAGCTCGCGAAATAGATAAGAGAACTTTTATTTGTTACGCAATGAGAAAATTCCAGAATATATTAGAAAATCATTTGCATAGAATTAAGATGAGCACTAAAAATAATACAATACTACGGAAGCCGAGAGGGGTCACAACAAATGCAAATTCCGCAACACATCAAAAAGCCACAACACATCGAAAAGCCAAAACATTAAAAGAAAATCCGCAACACATAAAAAGCCGCAACACAAAAAAGCCGCAACACATTAAAAGCCACAACACATCAAAAAGCCACAACACATCAAGCCACAACACATTGAAAAGCCACAACACATCGAAAAAGCCACAACACATTAAAAAGCAGCAACACATCAAAAAAGCCGCAACACATCGAAAAGCCACAACACATCGAAAAGCCACAACACATTAAAAAGCCGCAACACATCAAAAAGCCGCAACACATCAAAAAGCCGCAACACGTCAAAAAGCCACAACATCAACACATAAAAAGCCACAACACATCAAAAAGCCAAACGGAAGTGGCCGCGGGACTGTGGCAAGTGAAGAAGAAGAACTACAACGTGAAAAGAATAATGATAAAACAATAAATTACCTTTACTTACGTTTCCAACTTCTCCGTTCCTTTACTTTTCACGTTGTAGTTCTTCTTCTTCACTTGCCGCTTGATCGGAGAGTCCCGCGGGCACTTCCCTTGTGGCTTTTTGATGTGTTGTGGCTTTTTAATGTGTTGCGGCATTTGCGTTTGTATTTGTTGCGGCGTTTGCATTAAAATTGTCCCGCGGTCATTTCCGTTGTGGCTTTTTTTTGTTTTGTTGTGGCTTTTTGTCGTGTTGTGGCATTTGTATTTGTTGCGGCGTTTGCGTTTGTTGTGACCCCTCTCGGCTTCCATACAATACAGCAGTGTGCAACAATGTACAATAAGTGGCTATGTACAATAGAGTCGTCCCTCGCTATATCGCGGTTCACCTTTCGCGGTCTTGCTGTTTCACAGATTATTTTTTTAGAACAATTTTGCATGTTTTTTTTTTTTACAGCGTTTGAGCATGTATTGCGTTCCTCCCCCTGCGTCCTGATTGGCTGTAGACCACTGCCACTGACCACTGTCTCCTCCGTGCCGTGTCTCCTGTACAGTACAAAATGAGTTCTGTTGCCAAATTTACATAAACGTTCGATCTCTAGCAGTGCGATTCTGAAGTGCGGCGCGATCGGGCAATTGCAGCGCTTACCGTGAGGTGCGGAGCTCTCCGTCTCCGACAGTGAGTCCTGGTCCAGTTCTGGTTCAGGCCTGGTTTAGTCCTGGTTTGGTCCTAGTTCAGTCCTGATTTAGTTCTCCCCTTCAATCCTGGAATCAATCCTAGGTTAGTCCTGGTTTAGTCCTGTTTCAGTCCTATTTTAGTCTTAGTTCAGTCCTGGTTTCGTTCTCCTCTTCAGTCCTGGAATCTGTTCTAGGTTAGTCCTGGTTCGTGTCGTATGCTGCGCAAAAGTTTGATATAATCTTGGGTTAACAGGCGGGTGCGGTGTTGTACTGCGCGGGGTGCAGGTCTCCAAAAATGGACCCGTGCAGGACTCTGCGCTGTACGAGTCAATTTTTACTGCCATTACAGAAATAAATGAATCTTCAGTTTGTTACATAAAGAAGGAGGAAAATAAAAAAAAAGGACGACAGCAGCAATAAGTTTTAATGATGCAAAAAGGGTTGCAAGTGTCCTGTGTGAGAAAAGTGTATAAAGTGTGTGGTGAGGGGATTTACAGACTTAAAACATTCATAATAATTGTAAAATATAAAGTTGACTACTTCGTGGATTTCACCTATCCCAGGTTATTTTTAGAACGTAACCCCGCGATAAATGAGGGACCACTGTATAACATATAGACAATAAATAATTTAATAATGTCTTTGTGGTAAAACATCTTTTTTGTTTTGATTTTGTGCTTAAATGAATAATGGAAAAAACAGATACTGACTGTTTCCTGTTTCCATGACTTAAACTGCGATGCCGGACTGATACCAGGACTAAACCAGGTCCAGGACTAGAGCGGAACCAAACCAGGACTATGACTGGGACCAGACCAGAACTGAAACCAGGACTGAGACTGGGACCAGACCAGGACTGAAAATTGTTTAGTCCTGGTTTAGTCCTGGTTCAGTCCTTCAGTGCGGCGCAAAAGTCCGGCATCGCAGTTTAAGTCATGGAAACTGGAAATGGCCGTTATTCATTTTTTCCATTTTTCATTTAAACACAAATTTGAAAACTGAAAAAAGGAGTTGTTATTCATTTTTCATTCTGGTTTTGGAGACAAATAATGAAGAAAAAAAAAATATAATATATATATATATATATATATTATATATTTATTTTTTTTTCTTATTTTTTGTTTTATTTTGAAAAATGAATGAACCAATGATACACAGATTCCTCCAGATAAATCCCTCCTGACCTTGTTTCCTGTGTTCTCTCTGTCAGGGCCGGAGCTGCAGTGCCGCACAGTTTCTCAAACGTGAACATGGACATGGACGGTGTGGAAGACACTCCAGGAATAGTCTTCCACGACCATGAGCCACTCGTGTATTCTAATTAATTCTTTTTTTTCTCTCTCTCTGTTTTGACACTTTGTGACACTCGTAGATCATTTTGTTATAATTTTGGCATTTTAAAGTGGAATATTGTTCTAAAACAACTTAATAAAAGAAATAAGTCCACTCACTTTCTTGATTTCCGGGGAGGGAAATTGCGGAACCCAATGGGAGCCGTGAACACGATCATAACAAAGTGATGCATGCTTTCAGCTCCAGATATGGACGGTAGCAGATTTGATTCCTGTCTTTCCCATGTCCCACTGACACTGAAAAATTACATCTCTGACCTGATTTGAGTGACGTGTAGTGTAAATATATCTGTTGGACGCGTATATGACAGGGACTGATTCTATGACCAGTCAATACTGAAGGTGATACCTGTGCGTACGCTGCTCTCCTACACTTACGCTCTCTTACTCCTTTGGTGTAGATTGGGGTGAGCGAGGTGTCATCCATGCTCCTGTAGTGGGCGATGGGTGACACATGAGTAGAGGAATGTACTCCGATAGTAATATTATAGCACAAAAGGGAGGGGGGACTCTGAGCCTCAAAAACAAAAGTGAAGTGTATTAAAGGTTGTATGAAGGATTTTTTTTTTTAGTTTCAAATTGTCATTGAAAGTTTAAAATATCATTACAGAGACGCAGCAGCCTTGTAATTACGATGACAAAAAAAAAAAAAAGAAGGAAAATCTATCAACTGTGAACGTAGTGAGGCCAGATAAACATCAGCCAATAGATAACGAGGCTCCCTCTTTATCTATTGGCTGTTAAGTTGTCAATAAAACTCCCTATGTTTCTAGTGTAACTGACTCGCCAGTGTTCGGGGATTACGTGGTTTATGCAGCGGTTCTTAGAGACTTTTTCAAACTGTCGCTTCCTCGCAGTTCACACAAAGTTTGTTGCGATGGCGGACCAGAATCCGCGACCAATTCGCCGCAAAAGAGATCAGTTTTTGAGGTCGCTGAAAGAAGAAGAGAAGGGGAAAAGGAGCAAAGACAAACTGATTCTTGATTCTTGGACGTAGCAGACGAAGGGTCTAAAAACTGCAACGTCGGTCGCTAAAATATTTGTAGACAGGTCACTTCAACAGTAATTCTGAACGCGCACTGGATGTAAACAAGAGTGATTTCTAGAGTAACGAGGCGGGAGGAGGTGTTTCTACTGAGGGAGCTGTGGAGGAGGAAGGAGGCGTCACGCATGCACATTTGAAAAAGGACTGTCGCTGTATTTCACTTCCCTTAAAAAGCTTACATAACCACATTCTAACACATTTAGGAAGGTTGTAAAAATTCCAAAACATGCCTACGAGACAATGAACAGAGACAAGGGGCAATGGGGCTTTCATGCTGTTTCATACCTGGACTGGTCAGAAATAGAGCCAATCATGGACATTCATAGTCGTTCCTATCTGAACAAGTATGGCTGCTTACGAAGGAAAAAAGAAAGGAAAAATATCACAGGGGGCTAAGAAACATCACACATTTCTGCAGAATCAGTGAGCTAAACTGTTAGTCCAAAGTGAGATTTTCTGAGGTTAATTTTGTTCAAAATGAGGGTGAAAGAGCTCCGTGGTTTGACACGTGTCACTGAGACATGCCAGGACAGATGCCAGGATGTGAGCAGGAAAAACAGGGGAAAGGAAACATAAATTCTGGTCTTATAAAAAGAAATGCCCGATGTTAAAGTTGCATTGAGTCATTTTTCTAGTAGAGGGTCCGTTAAATGCTTTTCTCTGTGATGTTATTGCTTGACCTGGAATGTTTCACACTATGGCAATTCACTTTTTTATCTTCATGGAGACCAAACCTGACGAAGTTACAGATTAAATCCACGGAGAGGCGACCCCGCTCACAGTCAGAATGCTTTCTTTTCGAGGTATTTCCTCTATACAACCTTTAAATACGTTTTGTTGTTTTTGGTGAATACAGCATTTCCACATCTCTAAAAAGAAACACTCTCTAGTAATACTCTCTTTAAAACACAAGGGTCCTGGAGTTTTAGGAAACAATCCCATTTTCACGATGTAGACAGGGATTTGAGACTGCTAATTACAATTTCCAACCCAGTACACCCTGATTACATATCCTAAAGAATGTTTAATCAGGCGACGCTGCAGTGCAATGTTCAGTACAGCTTTGTGCTACACTTTCTCCTGTCCATTTCACGGTTCATTGCGATTCACAACGTCCGTCGCACTGTTAGTCTATTATGGAAAATGGCCTCGCTGTGCCTGTTTGGTCACGGGAATATCGCGCTTTTCCAGACATGGTCAATCTGCAGAGAGAGGTTTGGCTTTTACGCGAATGTCCCCCGTGTTTGGAGAGGGACGGCATCTCATTTGTGGCTATGACCCTGAAATTGCTGAGTCCGTGGTTTGAAGAATGTGGCACGTGATTTAATGGACAGTTGGACAGTGTCGAGAGCCGCGTTAGACAAAAGTCAGATGGGATTTTTCTGCTGGTGTAGCAACATATTCACTACCTCACCTTGGGGTTTTGACTGAAATGTCATTTTAAAGGTGTTCTGTGATCTGTAGCCTTATAGTTTTAAAAATGCACTACAATCGTAACTGAACATCGGTCACCAGTGAACCAGTATATCACACGCATAGGCTACGTTCAGACTGCAGCCTGAAGTGACCTGTATCTGATCATTTAATGACAGTCTGAATGACACATCCGATTTTTTCAACTGTGACCCAGACTACTTCAATATTTGCTCCTAAAACCGATACATATCCTGATCTTTTGACATGCGACTTCAGTCTCAAAGCGCATTCATCTGACCTACACATTATCAACAAGCCACAAACGTCACTATTCTGTGCTGAAGTAGGCGAAAATTGTTAATGAACTCCATGTCACTGAAGCGAAGCACATCTCTGCCACTGCCCCACAAAACGCCACGGCACAAAAACCTCGTCCTTCTCCTTCTCAATCTCCTTAAAACAAGTAAGTTGTTCATGTTCTGGCTCTGGTACGAGAGGAACTTTAAAATCTCCAGGTGCTCGATGCTCGCGTCCATGTTTAGACAACTTCTGTAAACACAGAGCACGCTCGCTGTGGTTGACGTCGTCGTGTCTCCAGTGCGCATGCGGGACACTTTTGGGCCGTTTAATGTTCACACTGGAGATCACAGACAAGTTACATTTAAATGGAAATGTGAACGACCTCGCAAAAACATCGGATTTCAGAAAAAAATCGGAATTGAGCGTTAAGCCCTGCAGTCTGAACGTAGCCATACACATTTTTCTCGTTCTCAGCACATGGACAGGCCTTGTGTAAAAGCTCAGAACCCAACAGTCCTGTGCCATATTTACAGTGCAGGATGCAGTAAAAAAAAAAAAAAAAAAGTATTCACAATAGAACTTACCATAAAGCCAGTACCCACATAGTCAGGCCAAAGACACCCACCAGAATCAGCAGAGCTCCCCCTTAAATACCCCTCAGCCCCTACCCTTAACTTAACTTTTTTACCTTAATAAAAACTGTACTCAGAAACATAAGCAATGTATATCAACATAATAAAAATGGCTTAAATGCTCTGGTTTGGCTCATGAGACGAGAGCGATGTGAAGACAGCAACACCTGTGTGAAGTTGGCCCCCATCAAACACAAACCTACATAAAAACATATATACTACATAAGTCTGTCATTTGTGCTGCTTTGTCCTGCAAAATGTTTCATTTGTGCTGCTTTAGTTTTTGAGATATTAATGAAACTTTTTTAGGTCAAATTGTGGTCCCCAGGAAGCTTAAAAATGATCTAAAATGCTCCAAAATGGTGTTAATCGTTTGTGCCTTGTTTGTGCTGTTTTGTGCCACAAAAAGTTTTGTTTGTGTTATTATGGTTCTTAAGATATTAGCTATTTTTGGCCAATAACATCACCCTGTCCCCCAAAAAATGTTAAAACATGCAAAAAAAATATGGCAAACTATTGCACAAATTTTGTTTTGTTTGTACTGTTGTGTGCCTGTTAATATTTTACTTTTTGAGTTAATATTAAAGTTATTATATATTTAACTTTAGTAAGTAAATAATAATGTAGTAAATAATAACTAAAATGATTGACCCCATTCTGGGCCGGGGGGGCTGGCTGACCCCAATTTACCTATAAAAGAATCATTAATATCTCAAAAATTAAAACAGCACTAACAAAACATTTTTGCAGCACAAAACAGCACAAATGAAGCACAAAGGATTTACGTAGTTTTTGTGTAGGTTTGGATTTGATGGTGGCGAGGTGGCTTCCAAGTCCGAGGCCATGGTTCTCGACCGGAAAAAGGTGGCTTGCCCTCTCCGGGTGGGTGGGGAGTCTTTGCCTCAAGTGGAGGAGTTCAAGTATCTCGGGGTCTTGTTCACGAGTGAGGGAAGGACGGAACGTGAGATTGACAGGCGGATCGGTGCAGCTTCGGCAGTGATGCGGTCGCTGTATCGGACCGTTGTGGTGAAGAGGGAGCTGAGTCGAAAGGCGAAGCTCTCGATTTACCGGTCAGTCTTCGTTCCTACTCTCACCTATGGTCATGAGCTCTGGGTAGTGACCGAAAGGACGAGATCGCGGATACAAGCGCTCGAAATGAGTTTCCTCCGCAGGGTGGCTGGGCTCTCCCTTAGAGATAGGGTGAGGAGCTCAGTCACACGGGAGGAGCTCGGAGTAGAGCCGCTGCTCCTCCACGTCGAGAGGAGCCAGTTGAGGTGGCTCGGGCATCTGTTCCGGATGCCTCCTGGGCGCCTCCCTCGGGAGGTGTTCCGGGCATGTCCCGCCGGGAGGAGGCCCCGGGGAAGACCCAGGACACGCTGGAGGGACTATGTCTCTCGGCTGGCCTGGGAACGCCTCGGGGTCCCCCTGGAGGAGCTGGAGGACGTGTCTGGGGTGAAGGAAGTCTGGGAGTCCCTGCTTAGGCTGCTCCCCCGCGACCCGGCCCCGGATAAGCGGACGAAAATGGATGGATGGATGGATGGGTGGCGAGGTTCATGTAGGTGACAGTAACAGGTACGGAGCGTGCGGGGGCATAGCCACTGAATGTGTTCCCTCGAACACACTGGCAGGGAAATACACTCCAGGCAGTGGGGAAAAGAGTTTGTAAGTGCACAGGACCGCGGGACACGTGCGGGTCTGTGG